AAAAATTGCCTGCTGCAGGGCAGAAAATTTTGTCAAAATAGTGTCTTTACGAAGGTTTCAGAGAGCTCGAAAAAATAATTTGGTCGACCTAAGAAAAATTCATTTAAAATTTTGAAAAGTTTTTGACGATCCGCTCCTTCCTCCCTGACAAAACCCTACATCTCGGCCCCAAGAAAACTTATTGTATCTCCAATTTTGTAGAAATAAGTTAGGTACAAATTTTGAAAAAGCTTAAACACAAAAACAGATCGAATATACACAATACTCGAATATACACAAGGCTCTGATATGACTCCGAAAAAAATTGTCATACTTTGCCGATCTTCTCGGTCTCCTTCTCTTTAAATACAGCAACATCTATCAAAGGATAAACGAGAATTTCAATCAAGTCATAGAACTGATGATAGGAGTTCCAATGCAAAACACAAACTCTACCATTTTTGGTTCTTTTTGAATTTATATTGCACGTTTAGTAGTTTTTAGTACAAACTCTAATGGTGATGCTCCAGATTTTGTATACGTTAAAGATGATGTTTTGAAGGTTTTCTTGACTCATATGCTTTCTCATTAATTAATTAATACTAAAAACGGTTTAGTTTCATATACATTTCAATTTATAGAATTTTGTGTAATAATTAATTTTTTTGTCCAAAATATCTGTCAGCAAGGAAGGAAAGGCTGCTGAAAGAGTGCAGATAGCGCAACTCCTATTAAGCCAAACTGGAGTGACAACTGTAAATTTTTTACACTATAATTTTTTAGTTAAATTCATAAATTACTTGGTAACGGTTGCAATTAGAAACCATCGCAGATTACATGGGGACTATAAGTGAAAACTTAATACTTGTTGACAACTAGTATTATTACATGAGGACTATTAGTTATAAATTAATACATAGTGACAATAAGGATTTTTACATGGTGACCATTGGTTGTCATATAATATATGGTGACAATTATGACAACCTCCCCTCATAGTGTACTATATGCATACTACTATCAGGTACCACAAATAATGGTTGGACTGGGTTGAATGATATTTCTTATTAAAGCCCTTTTAGTCGTGATTTGAAGGACATTTAGAATTTTGAAAATATTGAGAAACTTTCAGTATTGAGAAAATCTGGTTCGAAACTTTTGATTTTTGATCTATTTTCGAGCTAGAAAGGTGACCGTGTAGGCTTACAATAGCATATTTAAGCTTAACTTAAGCCGTGAAAACTTGGTTTTACTCAAATTAAGGTAGTTTTGGAGTTTATAGCTCAACTTTCGAAATCAAAGTTTTGAAAACTAAAAACAATTCTGCAAAAAGATTTGAGTTTTTTTTTAGCTTTTGTAGTCTTTTTTTTCAAAAACTATTTTACCATTGACTTATTTTATTATGACTCTGAATTAAACCCAATTTTTTTTTACAAATCTTTTTATCACAATATGCAGAAAAAAAAACGACGCCAATTTGAAAAAAAAACTTTTTTCTTGTAATTTTTTAATAATGTGGTCGGAACAATCTGTGCTACTTGCACAGTAACCGGCTATCCTTGTTTTACAATGTAATCAAATGATTTATCACAGTTTTAGTTTCAAAATGAGTGTAATGACAGAATCGTGACAGAATCAAATAAGATCAAGATATAAATGATTGCATTCAAGAGTGGATTTAGAGGGTGGACTCCCCCTTCAGAAATATGACTCTTTCACCACCCAAAGGGTCACCTTTAGTAGTATTTTCCATCCATTCTCGGCCGAATTACCCTAATCTTTTTTAGGAGCGAAAAACTATTATACTACTTTATAAAATACTATTTTTTATTCTATATATACCATATTGTTTTACTTATTTTTTTGGCAAAGGCAATTTTTAGGGCCCGTCAGCCGAAAATGGATATCTCAAAATAGTGCAAATGGGGCCCTTTGGGTCCACAGGGGTTCGAAACCCCACTCCCCCTTTACCTAAATCCGATGGTGCTATTTATACCAGGGGAGGGTCTAGATTTTACTCGATTGGAGTTTTATTAGGTCGAACAAATTAATTTTTTGAGCTTTCTGAAAGCACCATGAAGACAGTATCCTGATAAAATTTTCTGCACTGCAGGAAATTTTTTGAAAAAAAAAACCGGCCAAAAGACCGTTTTTGAGTTTTTACGAGGATTTTGATCAAAAATTCGCGTTTTTTCTGCGCGCGCTCCAGCTCAAAATTAGTAGATAGTAACTTTGAGGTGGGGTACGCACCAAAAAAACGCAATTTTTTTTGTAGATGATTTTCCTAGTAAGCCTAAGAACGGCCTCTTGGCCTGTTTTTCAAAAATTGCCTGCTGCAGGGCAGAAAATTTTGTCAAAATAGTGTCTTTACGAAGGTTTCAGAGAGCTCGAAAAAATAATTTGGTCGACCTAAGAAAAATTCATTTAAAATTTTGAAAAGTTTTTGACGATCCGCTCCTTCCTCCCTGACAAAACCCTACATCTCGGCCCCAAGAAAACTTATTGTATCTCCAATTTTGTAGAAATAAGTTAGGTACAAATTTTGAAAAAGCTTAAACACAAAAACAGATCGAATATACACAATACTCGAATATACACAAGGCTCTGATATGACTCCGAAAAAAATTGTCATACTTTGCCGATCTTCTCGGTCTCCTTCTCTTTAAATACAGCAACATCTATCAAAGGATAAACGAGAATTTCAATCAAGTCATAGAACTGATGATAGGAGTTCCAATGCAAAACACAAACTCTACCATTTTTGGTTCTTTTTGAATTTATTTTGCACGTTTAGTAGTTTTTAGTACAAACTCTAATGGTGATGCTCCAGATTTTGTATACGTTAAAGATGATGTTTTGAAGGTTTTCTTGACTCATATGCTTTCTCATTAATTAATTAATACTAAAAACGGTTTAGTTTCATATACATTTCAATTTATAGAATTTTGTGTAATAATTAATTTTTTTGTCCAAAATGTCTGTCAGCAAGGTAAGGAAAGGCTGCCGAAAGAGTGCAGATAGCGCAACTCATATTAAGCCAAACTGCAGTGACAACTGTGAATTTTTCACGCTGTACTTTTTTAGTTAAATTCATAAATTACTTGGTAACGGTTGCAATTAGAAACCATTTCAGATTACATGGGGACTATAGGTGAAAATCTAATACTTACTGACAACTAGTATTTTTACATGAGGACTATTAGTTATAAAATAATACATGGTGACAATAAGGATTTTTACATGGTGACCATTGGTTGTCATATAATACATGGTGACAATTATGACAACCTCCCCTCATAGTTTACTATATGCATACTACTATCAGGTACCACAAATAATGATTGGACTGGGTTGAATGATATTTCTTATTAAAGCCTTTTTAGTCGTGATTTGAAAGTCATTTAAAATTTTGAAAATTTTTCCACAGTGTTGAGAAAATCTGGTTCGAAACTTTTGATTTTTGGTCTATTTTCGAGCTAGAAAGGTGACCGTGTAGGCTTACAATAGCATATTTTTATTTTTAACTTAAGCCGTGAAAACTTGGTTTTACTCAAATTAAGGTAGTTTTGGAGTTTTTTGCGCAATTTTCGGAATCAAAAATTTGAAAACTCAAAACAATTCTGCAAAAAGATTTGAATTTTTTTTAGCTTTTGTAGTCTTTTTTTTCAAAAACTATTTCCCAATTGACTTATTTTATTATGACTCATTTTTTTTTACAGATCTTTTAATCACAATATGCAGAAAAAAACGACGCCAATTTGAAAAAAACGACGCCTTTTTTTCTTGTAATTTTTTAATAATGTGGTCGGAACAATCTGTGCTACTTGCACAGTAACCGGCTATCCTTGTTTTACAATGTAATCAAATGATTAATCACAGTTTTAGTTTCAAAATGAGTCCAATGACAGAATCGTGACAGAATCAAATAAGATCAAGTTATAAATGATCGCATTCAAGGGTGGATTTAGAGGGTGGACGCCCCCTCAGAAATTTGACTCTTTCACCACCCAAAGGGTCCCCTTTAGTAGTATTTTCAATCCATTCTCGGCCGAATAACCCTAAACTTTTTTAAGAGCGAAAAACTATTATACTACTTTATAAAATACTATTGCAAAGGGGGCCCTATGGGTCCACAGGGGTTCGAAACCCTGAAGAGGGGCGTCCGCCCACTCAACCCCGCCCACTTTACATAAATCCGCTGGTGCTATATATACCAGGGGAGGGTCTAGAGTTTAATCAATCGGAGTTTTATTAGGTCGAACAAATTGATTTTTTGAGCTTTCTGAAAGCACCATGAAAACAGTATCTTGATAAAATTTTCTGCACTGCAGGAAATTTTTTGAAAAAAAACCGGCCAAAAAACCGTTTTTGAGTTTTTAGGAGGATTTTGAACAAAAATTCGCGTTTTTTCGGCGGGCGCTAAATAATTCAAAATTAGTATATAGTAACTTTGAGGTGTAGTACGCACCGAAAAAACGTAATTTTTTATACGCGATTTTCCTAATAAGCCTAAGAACGGCCTTTTGGCCTGTTTTTTCAAAAGTTTGCCTGCTGCAGGGCAGAAAATTTTGTCAAAATAGTGTCTTTACGGTGGTTTCAGAGAGCTCGAAAAAATAATTTGGTTGACCTAAAAAAATTTATTTAAAATTTCGAAATTTTTTTGAAAATCCGCTCCTTCCCCCTTGAGAAAACCCTAGATCCGCCCCTGATCACATCATTTCAAATCCCATTTTTAATTTTTGTTTTCACGAGATTATCTGCTAAAAATCATCGTGCCTGGATTTGGGTATTTATTCTCTGCATATCAAGTAAAAAAAACGGCGAAAAAAGTTATAAATATGAAAATTTGCTGCTGCCCAAAAAGGAGCCGTAATCGTTTAAGGATTCAAGTTGAGAATAGTTGAGACCTCTTCTGGTACATAAAGCTGGGGGCAACGAAAAGCAAAAGTTTGGTAGTGTTCCATTTCTCCATTCAAAAACTTACTTCTTGCACTCACTTATTTTCAATTTGTTCGTTTTAGCAGGGACTAGATGATGCTCATGTTAACTAGTTCTGGAGGTGTAGCACTTGCAAGCCGTAGTGTCAACAACGTCCATTCATGACGAACTTCGCTATGATACAGACAAATATTGGTTATGATCTTATTCAAACATCCCGACCAAATTAGGACGAAATCGATTATTTTCAATGACACTAAAATCAAATGGACTACCTTTTACTCAGTAGCATCTATTTGAGTAAACTTATCGAGTTTGAATAGCTTAGAGTTCAAAACAATTCGACAAATTTGGCCCTCTTTTTGAATATCAAAAATGGGAGAAGCTGAATTGCACAATCCCGGCTTGGTTCGGTTTTCCGACGAACACATGGAGCCTACAACGGAGGCGAACAATAATTTAGACAGCGCAACAGCCAACAACGACAACAATAGCAAAAGCGCAGACACCAATAATGTAAACAATCAGAACACCAATCACCAAACGTGCAACAATTCAAATTCTAGTCCAGAAGGAGGGCAAAGTATAGAACTAGAGGAGGCGCTGGGGTATCTCGCTAGTAAAAAGACCTGGCACTTTCTAATATTTCTCGCAATCGCTTCCTTCGACATTCCATTTGCATTTAACCTCATGATTCCAGTGTTTCTCGTAGCTCCTAATGAAGGTCCACAAAGTCCCTGTTTTTACTGTCTGGGCGATGAAACTGTGCAAATAGACCCTTACACGAACACAAACACCAGCCTCCTCACCCAATCACAGCAGAGATATACTGTGACGTCAGACCAGTGCTATTTTGCGCCGGGAGAGGGCGTGGATGAGTCATGGCAAAATGTGACATGGCGACAGTGCACCAAGTTTGAAGGGAGGTGTGATAAACCGTACGGTTGGACGCCAGTAAAAGAGGTGAGCTGCAAGGAATCTCAGTCGCAGAAAGTTTAATAAAAGTTTGACAATTAAAATCAAAGCAAGGGTACTCAGTTGCTCAGCAAGCAACGCTGAAATTTCCAACCCTGCATTTCACAACAATTTTTTGGCTAAAGACGTTTAAAATAGGTTGTTTTTGCCTGAATTCCTTGGTATTTCCGCACCCAAATACGCGTTTTTTTTTGGATATTTTGAACATTTAAAAATTTTGTAGACCAAAAAATTAATTTTTTGATCTGACCTCCCCAGGGATTGAATAAAACTTTGGCCTAAAGTTTTTTAAGCTAAAGTGTATGATGCAAATAAGCATCAGAAGTGAAAGCTCTTCCAGTTTTCAGCCGGATTCCAGAAAGTTATTTCAAAAAAATGCGTCAGTGTTTCGAAAAAATTGTCAGTTAATGTCAGTTTTTTAGATTTTTCTACAGGGATTAGAATTGTGTTCAAATAAATTTCTAACTCTCTTCTTGTAATTTACGATTTATTATCCATATTTAGATTAGTTTTTATGCAACTTGGACCTAATTGCAGAGCAGGATAAGAAACTGTTAGATACAATTTAAAAATTGCATCACTTAGCAAGTACTGACTTTACTTACTGTGTGGCAGTTGCTGAGCCACCGGCTACCTTAATCTACATGTTAATTTTTTAAATTAGATTTTTTGGTGCCTGTATTCTATGAATATCTTAGTTGCTTTTTACACTATCACGATGTTAAACTGAAAAACTTTTCACATACTTTTGAAATAAGTGGTTTGCGCTGAAAACCAAACTAGGATAAAGTTCAGTCCCAGCCCTGAATCAAAAGGAAAGGGTGTATGGAACTAAAAGAAATAATGCTCGTCTCTGGGTGAAGTCTTGAATGTTACCGCTGCCTTGCAACATCACAGAATTAAAAAAAAACAGAAAAGAGTTTGCTCAGAAAAATCGAACTTTTTTCGAGAAAACACAGGTTTTGAAAAATCGTACTTTCCCTCAATTTCAAACTAAAACGGATACTTTTAGACTTTAGTTGCGACTTTGTTTGGACTATTTAGTTTGCCTTTGTTCAATTTGGAATAATGTGTGCCACAGATTAGGATGTCGCGTCAATAGAAAACGATAACTTCGATAATGCAGACGGATTCCACTTACAATGCAGAGAATGCACAGTTTGGCCTCGTAATGAAGCGTCAATAGAAAACGAAAAAAATTGAAAAAAAAGGAACCAAAATGGGCCGAAAAAAATTCCGAAAACTCTTAGCTCATCAAAAAAAAACTTGGAAGACAAAACTTTTAGTTCAGAAATTGATATTGTTCAGATTATACTTTAAACCAATGTGAGTCAACTTTACAAATATAAATTTGATTCTCCTTTTCTCTTTCGTTTGAGAACTGGAATGTGAATCAATTGGAAATTCCTGGTTACAACAAAAAATTTGAGTTTGCTTAATTAGGTATATAGAGATTCGGATCCAAAGTTCAGCTGTTTCTTTTTTTTTTTTGCTTTTCAAACACGTTTAGATATCACTGCGGCCATTAAACGAGCGTTTTGGAGTTTTGGTTACGATTTAGTTTCGGCGTTTTTCTGCATATATCTAATTACTTTAAACCAAATTTCATATTTTAACTAGGAGTTTAGTAAGGTTGTGACAGAAAACGGAATAAATCTGGAGTTAATTAAATGTTCCACATTCCACATGCCAGTGTTCAGTAGGTGTCAGGCGACGCTCTGAAGGTTTTATTCTAATGTTGATAAAATTTCCATAAAAGAAAGTCGACAGTTTTGGACAACAACGTGCCTTGTTCATAAAGTCATTGGGGGCTATTATCATGCGCGAAGGACCGAATGGGCGAAAAAACCGAAGACAAAATTAGCCGAAAGTCAATTTTTAAAAAGAAGTAATTGCCATTCATTTTTACTTCTTTCATAACGAATATTTTGCTTCTTTCAAAATCTTTTGCTTCTTTCACAACGAACCCTTGAAATAAAAAATTTGTCCTAATTCACGATTTGAAAACTTTGCATATTTCTGCCGTTTTTATATTCAGCCAATATCAATACTCAGTCTGGAAATGCTTACTTTCTTTCCAAATGTTAGGTAATTTTCGCGCATTCGGTCCTTTGCGTATGAGGGTTTCCACCAAAGTCATCACCCTTCATGCAAAGTGAGGTAATTAAACTATTAAGTACAAAGAGATATATTTAGAACAGTAGCATGTTAATTAGAACAAATAGAACGCCTCAATTCAAATTGGAAACGTTTTGAGCCGGATTCAATTGCCTTTAACGCATTAACCGCACAAAGTGTACTGTAAATCATCTTAAATTTACCGAATTGTCAATTTACAAACCCTCATAGTTTCCGAAACAAAACCTTATGCAAAATATACTTTTAAAAGTGAGCTCGGGGCGTCAATAGCTTTCAAATAATATAAAAATTTGTCAAACATGGCTGGTTAAAAAACCAAGTTTTGTTTTGCTGAAAAAAAAAATCAAGCTAAAATAATCCGTATATTTCTTCAAAAGTCGGAACAATGAGTAAAATTTTTTAAAAAAAATTGGGGTCTTATGCACTAAATAGCCCAAAAACAAGATTTTTACATCTTTCTTGAGCTCAAAATAATATGGTTGAAAATGATTGGCTAATCAGACACTCAAATTTAATCATTAAAATTCCAAGCAGATAAAAGTTTTGGCCGAAATAACCAAAATTATAATTTTTTTATTCTGCTGAAGCAAAATTACCCAAGTCATTTGAAAAAAAAAAACTAAGACAAAGTTTAATTTTTTTATGGTAATTTTGGTTAATAGTTTTATCTGGTGAAAATTTTGTTTGAATTGCCTAAGCAAGTTGCTCGAATTTGAATGGCTGATAGTAGCCAGCCAGGTTCGACAGAATAAGTTATAACTCAAGGCATAGAAACTTTGATTTTCGGCCGTTTTGTGCATAAGATCCGGAAATTGAATAAACAACTCGTGTATTTAATTCAATAATTATTTTTATAGATAATTCATCAAGAACTACGGTGAAATGATTAAAGTCGTTTTTTCTATGAGAGCTTAGCGTTATTAGCAGAACATAGCTTAACTATACAGAAAAAGAAAACGAAAGCTCTTATTGTTCCGGCTGCCACTTAAAGTCTGCTGAGTACATTTTGATTTTAAAAAAGTTTAATTAACTCAAAATTGATTTAAAAATTTAAAAAAAGAAAAAATTTAATTTACTCCAGCTCTTTTCATTGCAAAACCAAAAGTTACAGAATAAGCGCCTAGCAGAGAGTTGAAAAATCCAAATAAGTTGCCTCATTTCAATTTGGAATAATTTTTGAGCGGGATTAAATAGCCGCTTACGCGTTAAAGGCACAAAAAATATCGCGCGTTGATTGTCCCAAATTGGCAATTTTCAAACCTCTATATCTCTTCAAAAAAATCACCGTTTTTTGATGGGTTAAAATTTTTTTCAGATGATTTACGATACTCCGTTCAAAAATGACTAGTTAAAGAAAAACGCAGCGAGCACAAATAATAAGTGTTGTCTTCAAAAGTCGGACCAATAAAATCCGAAAAACAGTGAACGGTAAAAAAAGCCTCATAGTACACGGTCTGTAAAGTTTTTTCCTTTTTTCTTTAGTTCAGTCTGTACTGTGAGAGTGGTAAGTGGGTGGAGTTGGCCAATTCCATCTTCTACTTGGGGGTACTACTTGGCAGCTTCTTCACAAACTCCATCTCCGACAGATTCGGCCGCAAGTGGGTCGTCCTAGGGGGACTGTTCGTCCAAGCCACGTTCGGTGAGAACTACTCAATATTGTTATCATCTGTTTTAAAAAGTTAAAATTAAATAAATAAACGCTTTCCCTAAAAATTAAAAATTAAACTAAACAAAAAGTTGAAAGTAAACGCTTTCGCTATAATTAGCATTATCAGGCGAGAGGTACATCTTAAAGTCAGAATATTTATAGTTAAAAATATTTAAAAAACAATAAATATTAGCATTAAAGCTCATGAGTTTTTTTAGTTTTTTGGAATAAGACCAGGGGCGGATTTAGGAGGGAGGAGGCGGACGCCCCCCCCCCGTCCTCAGGGATACAACCCCTGCCGACCCAAAGGGTCCCCCCTTTGTACTATTTTGAGATATCTATTTTTGGTGACGGACCCTAAAATTTTTCTAAAAGCGTCTTTGGCGCCAATATATACTAATTTTGAGTGGGGGGGGGGGGCGCTTCGAAAAAACACGACTTTGGTCAAAACTTTCCAAAAAGTGCCTAAAAACGCCTTTTTTGGCCTGTTTTTTCAAACTTTGCCTGCGGCGCAGAAATTTTGGCCAAAACAGGGTCTGTTGACTGCTTGGAGAGAGCTTGGAATATCAAGTTGGTCGACCTAAAAAAAGTCGTCAAAACTTTTGGAAATTTTTTCACAAATCCGCCCCGCCCCCCCCCCCCCCTCGTGAAAATCTTAGATCCGCCCCTGAATAAGACGAAATTGTTAAAACGACTTCTTGTAGAGTTCGTTTTGTTTTCAGATATTTCGTTCTCCAACACATGTCCCTAATAAAAGTATAGGTTTACCACTGGTAACTAAGATATCTAACTAAGATTAAAACAGAATAAAACGTAATGTGTGAATTAAAACTGACTGTAGTCTAAAAAGAGCAACTAGTGACTCGAAGTCCAATGGACTTCGCAGAGTGTACATTAACTGGTACTTGATTAAACATTAAAGGTCAAGGTTACAACATACTAAAATACTAAATCACAACATTCCCCACTGCACAAAAATTTATATCTGCCCGCTCCTCGATGTAGCCAATATCACTCATATACTCCATTCTCCCCTCACTCCACCCGGTCCAAAGTTGAAACAAAAAGTAACCGCGTTTAGCACAATGGAAATTTACAGAGAGTACAAATCACAATGGAGGTGGGTCATATGGTAATATATACAGGCTACCTACAAGTTTACACAGATATCTACAGTGAATGTACAAAATGATATGTACAATTGGGGTTATGTGGCATTTATACAAATAAGAAAAACTAACCTAAATCACTAACTAATCAAAAGTGGGTAATCCACTGGATAGAAGCCCAAGCAAATAAAAGAAGTATAATGGTACGAGTTTAAACGTTTTTAGAGTTTCAAATCGTGGCGTTAAATTTGTCGTGAAAGCTATCGGCCTCCCTCCTTGCATCTGCATCAATGACTGAGGATATGTCGCTGCCGTCATCATCCTGAATGTTCGTACCAACTTCTACCAATGGAGATGGTAAACTCGCGACCTTTGTTGTTCGAAAAGTGGTTGTTGAGGAGGGGCCTTGTGTGGTTTCCGCCACCAGTGTTGGGTGCCAAGGTATATCTTCAACTGGTGTCAAATAATCTGAAGGGGACGCCGTAGAATAAATTGTCTGAGTCCGTGGGCTCTTTGAGCTGGAGAACGTAATTAGAGGTTCGTCATCGTGAGTCTACTACACTGATGGTCTCCGTTCCAAGCGTCACTTGGTCAATAAAACGCCTGTCTCCGTAAAGTTTAGGGGGACCTGGATTTCTTCTTGAGCGGGGTTTGATAGATACCGGAGTTTTTGGCGTCTCCAATGTCTTCTCCGGAGAGCTGTCTTATCTGATTGAGTCATTGCTTGTACCCGTTGGAATAGTGGTCGTTGTCTGTGTGTTAATTTCGCTCGAAAAGGTACTTCTAAGCTGATCTAAATCACTTTGAAAATTAACAGTCGGTGTATTACATACAATTTCCGCGTGCGTACCCAAGTAATCGTCAATCACTTTATCCCAAAGGTCTAACTCTAGCGACGAATCTAATTTATTAAACGTGGATTTTGAACCTTTTGTGTTCGGGGTGTTGGTTCTCCTCCTTTTAGCTGCCTTTCCTCCCGTTGGTATGTAACGCGACGATAGACCTCCTGCATTTGAGTCTGGTCTCTTCGACGGGGAGTTTCTTTTTCGCTTGCCTGCTAAATCAAGATTGTTAATTAGAGGATTCGGTACTGCCAAAAATTTACTAGGGACCGACGGTTGGGTTTTATTAAAAGCTAAGTCAGATTTTCTGATCACATGTCCGTTGTCTAATGTAACCGTGTGCTTCGTGTCTGACAATGATTTTCCCCCCAATGGTTTAAAGTATGGTTCGCCTTCCCTCCGGTTAACTGCCTTCCTAAACCATTTACCTCCTTGGCTGAACGGGTTTGACAGTGGGGCTCGCTGGAGGTTTCTGTCTGCTTTATCCGAAGGGTCGCTCTCATACCCTCTTTTGTCCGATGCTATGTTTTCCAGATATCCATCCTCAAACGCGTCGTCTGCTCCCAAGTCTTGTGCTCTATTTTTTGATAGTATTGACTTTCCCTTGGCTAAACTGATCGCGTGAGAGACCAGAGATTTCCAAAACGTATTGGGGGATCTACTAAAATGTTTTGAAAAAGGAAAGCATCCAATGGATGATTGTTTCGTCGAACGAATATTCCAGATGATTTTATCAATAGCCGTATTTAAAGATGGTTTTGGTTCCTTAAACGACATTGCCAGAAGTTTACCTTTAACAGTATAAATGAGTCGTTCTACGACTCCGTTCGATCTGTGATACCCAACAGTACATAAAATAATTTAATATTGTTCTTCTCGCAGAAGTTTCTAAAATCGAAAGAAGTAAAACATGACCCATGGTCGGCTCTAATAGACTTTGGAAATCTGTGAAGGTGGCAATAATCTGTCATGAAAGATGAAATTGAACAATCAGAGGTGTTGTTCACTACTTTTGCTCACGGGAACTATGAGAAGCGATCGATGCATAACAAAAAGTATTTCGAGTAACCCCAATTTTTGTCCAATGGACCCGCAAAGTCTAAATCTAGTTCTTCATTTGTTTCGGTCAGAATTGGTAATTTCTCCGTATTATTCGTCCCTAGTATCACTTTTAGGTTCTTACCGGCCTTGATGCACTGGATGCAATTTTTCCCGTGATAGTATATCTCCCTGAATAGATGTGGCCACCAAATGTTCTCTGCCAAGGATTTCATCCCGACTTGTCCTGGGTGTGTTTCATGCAGTAATGACAGGAATGGCGACATTAGAGCTGCTGGTACTATCAATTTATTATCGTTAAATAACAATCCTTCTTTAAAGTAAATGTCTCCCTGAAAGTTCTTTGGGTAGGCTCCGAATTTATCCAATGGTCTGCCTTCCTCTACTGCCTTCTTCACCTCCTTGAGGATTTTGTCTTCGTCTGTCATCAGTTTGATTAGCTTGTTTGAGCAATGATCTATAAGGGATAGCGGAGTGTCTGGTAATTATACTTGGCCAGTAGTTTCTTGTGTAAATCTGACATTGTATCGTTATTGAAGTTCAACGAAATTCCTTTATTTTCTGCCCTGAGGGAAATTTTTAGCAAGTTAACCGATGTAATGAATTCTCGTAACTGTTTTTTTAATTGAATTTAACGACTGATTAATTGAAAGTATTGACTGGGCAAGAAAAAATAAAAAGGTTTTATCTGATAAATAAAAATGATTGAAATCAAATTTTGATAAATTTAGTGGATCGCAACCGCTTGTACAGGACTCTGAACGTGAGTGATTGGAATTACAAATTCTAACCGTGTCGTTTACGTAGCTTAGAATATTCGAGAAGAACGACCGTTGGATGCTTAGCGACAATTCTTTCTTTCCGCCCATTGGATTATTACAATCCAAGTTACTGATCGTATTTACATCCACTGGATTATACAATTCGTTCTTTTTCAATTATTCTTTTTACAATTACTATTTACAGAGATTTTCTACAATCTTTTGTACTGTAGCCACTACAAATTCGCTATCATAGTGTGAGGTTGGGAGTGCTTTTCCTCAAGTTAATCTCGACAAAAAATCTGTAAATCTAATTTCTTTTCCCGGTATGTGTTTGATCTTGAAATTAAAGGGTAAAAGTCGGTTTACCCAACGGGTTAGTCTGCTGTGCATAGTTTTGTTGCTCTGATTTGCATTTAGTGCTGATAGTAATGCCTTATGGGCCGTTACGATTTCGAACTCAGCACCATACAAGTAATTTTTAAAATGCTCCGTCGCTCAGACTACTCCCAACAATTCAAGTTCATTTGTCGAATTTTTACTTTCGTGATTAATTAAAAATCGGGAAGCAAATGCTATTGTTAACCAATTCTCCCCATCACATTGTTCTGGGGTGGCTCCCAGGCCGCTATGAGAAGCGCCTGTCTTAAGTCCTGACATCCTTTTTATATCAAAATGATTGTTCTCTGTGATGTTAACTATCTGCTGTTTTAGTTCTTCAAACGCCTTTGTATGCTCGTCGTTCCTTTGGTAAACTGATTTTTTTACGAGAAGTGGTCGTAAGGGAGAACTTAGAGATGACCAGTTCGGGACGAATTTTATATACTGATTGATTGACCCAAAGAATGACCTTAGTTCGGAAATGTTTTTGGGATTTGGTAGGCTTTTTATCGAATCTGATTTTCCCACCAGTAGTTTTACGCCCGAATTTGATATCTTGAAACCCAGCCACTCTATTTCTTCTTGGAAAAATTCACATTTCTCCCATTTTACCGCCATATTCTTGTTGTCCAAAATGTTTAAAGTTTTTGATAATATCGCTTTGTGTTCATTTAAAGATCCTTTCGAAGCTATTAAAATGTCGTCTTTATAACAATTGGTAAAAAGAATGTCTTTCAGTAAAGAATTCATTACCCCCTGGAATTCGTTTGGCATATCGCCCAGTCCGTAAAATCCCGTTAAAATTCTATGGGTTCCAGTGGTTTCGCCCCCCACAATACTAAAGTTACACTGTTTGCTGGTGTCTGTACATAATTGTAGTTGACTGTACGCATTTTGTATATATAGACTAGTAAACCGAACTTCCCCTGACTCTTTGCTTTACAGTTGGAGCGCTATGTTGTCTATCAGTTCATGTATGTTTGGCATTTGATATTTGTTCTTGAATATCTGGTTATTTAATAGTTTCGATTCTAATGCCAACTTGATGCTACCGTCTTTTTTTTCTTGTAATCACTATTGGACTTGTGAAACAATCTTCATCGCATTTGTTTAGCTTCACAATATGTACCTCTTTTTCCATTCCATTTAGTTCCATCTTTACATTATCTAGTAACTGCAGGGGAACTCTTCTACCTTTGGTTTGGATAAGTTTGAATGGAGAGTGAAAATGTGTAATTTTTCTGTCCAATGGTATTTTCCCAACTCTGTTTAATATTCCTTTGTACTTATGATACAGATTAAGAAGTGTGTCTGATTGGTTGTTTAACTTACACAACTCTGGGTGTGATATGTTGTTGACGGGTAGTAGAGGCTGTCGTTGAGCTATCTCGGTTCCAATTCTCGGTAGATTGTCGTTTTCCAGGATGTTCCTCTCATGTCCAGAAGTGATAAAAATGGAGTTTCGTCCGCGATCCATCAATTGGATTGTAATCTTACTATCACTTTCCCGATGATGTTGATTGTGTCGTTGGTAAACCCGCAGTATAGTTCCCTAGTTTTCTTCTCTACCGGGTGTATTTTCAATTGTGGATTTCTCAAATTCAATTCGTTTCAAGACGTTTTGCTTCAGGAAGCTCACTGGGCTTGCAGAATCCACTGGAATGTTCAAGTTGACTCCCAGTCCGATGTTGACTAATTTCTTGTTTTCCAAGCCATTGGTATCGTATATTGTCCTGATATTAAGAACGGAATAGTCATCGTTGTCACTTATCCCCTCTTCGTTGATCACGATGACTATTCCGTTGATCACACTAATCCCCTCTTTGAAGGTCTTCTGGGGAATATGAACAATTCTGACTATTTACAGTTTCATCTACAGTATTTACAGCGGGTTTTCTTCCTTTCGATTTACACAGTCTTCCATAATGTTCTTTAAATTTACAGATATCACAAACATTTACTTTCGCCGGACACACATTCAGATGACCCTTGGTAAACGCATTCCCGCATTTCATACAAGTATTTGATCTTTCTATGTTCAGGCTTGGTTCCTTTTTTTTTATTTTTAAAATTTTTGAACACTCTACCACTACTTCCTGTCGTGTTGAATGATCTAGTCATATTTGTTAGTTTAAAATGGTTATAATAGCCTTTTTGGTCGATGATTGCTTGGTTGAGTGCATCCATTGGATTGGGGTTTCCGAAAGTAGTCTACGTTGTAAGTCACAATTTTTCATGTTAAAAATAAATACGTCTCTAATCCACTCCTGTTCTGCATTGATTCCAATTTCACACGATCTTGCTAAATCTGATAATGCGCCCCAAAATTGTTCGTACGATTCTCTATCCTTTTGTTTTCTGCTCAATAGTTTGTATCGTTCAAACGTTGTATTAGTTGGTTTGATAAAATCCGATTCTAGCAGTTCGTAAAATTCTTTGAATGAGATTCCTAGGAATTTTACCCTTGGATGTTTTTGGGCAAAAACTCTTTCTCGTTCCGCTCCTAGGGCCAAGTACAGAATTGATTTTTGTTTTTTGTCGGCCTCATATCTCCTCATTCCTCCGAACTTCCGTTTCTCTTCTGCTAGTCTTTTCTCTTCTGCGTGTTCGTAGACTCGCATTACTTCTTTATTCCTGGCCTCCCTAGCTTTCCTCTGTTGGTCAGTTTCTGACTCCTGGGCGCCTTCTAGGATCGGTAACGTGGTCTCCCCTTCCACTGGTTCTTTAAGAATATCATTGTCTAGATTTTCCTTCGCAATGATAGCCAGATGGAATTGGTCTATCCAGTTGTTCCAATGGGTGGGAGGTTCTACCGTGTGGTTCGGCCAAAAGGCGGGTATTACCCGCAGGTTAGAATCAGTAGTTGACTGCGCCATAATAAAAGTATAGGTTTACCACTGGTAACTAAGATATTTAACTAAGATTAAAACAGAATAAAAAGTAATGTGTGAATTAAAACTGACTGTAGTCTAAAAAGAGCAACTAGTGACTCGAAGTCCAATGGACTTCGTAGAGTGTACATTAACTGGTACTTGATTAAACATTAAAGGTCAAGGTTACAACATACTAAAATACTAAATCACAACAGTCCCCAATTTTTTCTCCCAATTTTCTCACCTTTTTTAAAAGTTCTAGGGTTAAATTAATGTTTCACTCATATTTTAAGCTTTTAGTCGATAAAAAAATCATTATTATAATCGCTATATAGGTCAAACCAACTAAGAAAAATGGATCGTGCAACCTAATCTATTTCAGGCCAAATAGGGAAGGGGATTCGTTAGCAGGTGCAATATTACCGCGTGCTTATTCTCCACTTAGTCCTTCAAAGGTGTGGATAATTTTTACTGGTTATAATTTTTTTAGCAATAACACATTACAAATTCGAACGAGACAAACATTTTGCACGCGAAACAGCACAAAATCATGGAGGAAATAACCATCATGGTTAGTCAACGAATTACTGGAATCAAAGTTCGATTGATCAATTATCTTCTGTTTCAGGAATTCTTACTGGCGTGCTTCCCAGTTTTCCAGTCTTCGTAGCCGGCAGATTTGTCCAGGGTCTCATTGCTAAGGTAACCATTGACTCGAAACAGTAGTGGATAGCAATCAATCTCATTAATCGTTCAAAATATCCAAATTTTGGGAATTATGGTCGTAAGTTCTTTACGAGTGCTCGGAAAACCATTAGAAAAAATCACGAGAAGTTTTTGAAATTTTAATGAAGGTCCCACTCCCCTCGAGAGAACTTTATATCCGCGCGAAAATTGAGAGTATACTTTTTACGGAGCTAGCAATTCGTTTCATCGAAGAATCGGTTTTTTACCTGATAAATAACTGAACTAAATTAAACACTGGTGGAACAGGAACGGCTTGTTTCGCGCGCAAAGAAAAATTGAACAAAAATGATTGGTAAAACAAAGGCAGATCTGGAATTTTCTCGAGGGGTTGGATTTTCAAAAAAAAAACGAAAATTATGCCGACCTTTTTTTAAGGTCGATTAAATTGATTTTCTGAGCACTCCCAGAATACTAAGGCAGGCGTCAGAAATTTACAGGCAGGCGTCAGAAAGGAGGGCGCAAGACAGGTGTCAGAAATTTGAGCTCAATAAGATTCTCCAAAAATAACCAGTATTAAAGCCAAAACAATAAATGTGCGGAAACTAAATAGCGAACTGTTCATTCAGCGTGAACACGAGCCTAAGTCGTTATAATAAAATGTAAATAAAATGTTATAGTAAAATGTTAAATAAAGATTGATTTTTTTTTTCAGTTTTTTTAATGCTTTTTATTAACCCCTCTGAGCACTTTTGGGTAGGAAAATTTGTAAATTTGACTTTTTCAGGCAGTTGGGTATGTATCGTACGTAATGTGTCTGGAGTTCCTGCCTATTAAGCTGCGCACGTTCTACGGCATCCTTTACAATGTGGTGTGGGTGAGTGGGTACTGCATGGTGGGGGTGTTCGCCTACCTCTGTCAGGACTGGAGGAAACTGACCCTCACACTCAACGCCATCCTCATACTCTTCATTGGACACTGCTGGTCAGAACTGAACTCACATTTTTATAGATAGCTGCCAAAACTTTGAGGAAAAAATTTTTGCGTAATAAGGCAAAGTTAATTATATTAAATGCCACATTGTTGGCCATATTTTTTCGTTTAACAAATTTGAATTAAATTTTAACCTGAAAATTGATTATTTTGACGTCGGAATTAAACGTTCACTCATTTCAACTCGACAAAAATTGTATCGAAAAAATCAAACTAACGCAAAAATACCGTATTTGAACTACAAGGAAGCCCAAGGTCACCGATAGTTTAATCAGTCCTCAGAATAACTAGTTTTTCTGACACTGTTTTCTCGTGCTAAATTATGCGAAAAGTCTGCTTCCGACTGTTGAAAAGGATGATGTAGTAAATTTAAATTCCAATCCTAATTAACAACCAATTCTTATAAGATCATAAGCGACAACTGAAATAGGAGATTACCGAAGGTGCCAAACGCTCCGAAGGTTAGTACCTGTCAACTAAGTCTAGCACCGGTGTGAGAGAGTGGTTGATTGATAGATATAATATTGAACATAAACTAAACGGGAAGTGAACTAGTTTAATCACTATGACTTTTCCCCTTTTATGAAATGAAATTGTATAGATACAATGAATGATAGTTGAGTACTCAGAAGGGTTGTGATGAAGATTTAAAGACTCAGCATGTTAATGAATAATGAGAGGAAATAAACTAACGTTAAATGACTCAGTATGAAGTTAAAGTACTCAGAATGTTTTAAGGTTATTTAAGTACTAAGTTCAAGTTTTTGACTGATCCAGTCAGCCCTCTCCCTCAACTTCCTCCGTTCTTTGCTTTTTGTTTTATTTCATTTTTCGTGCTTTACTTTTTCTCTCCTCCCTTCGAAATGTGGTCAATCATAACGCCCCCATTTTGGTCACTGGGGTACGCTTCCTTCCACTCCTGCGTGACGTTGCTTTTAATAAGCTACAATTCGAGTCCTGGCTCGAATAGGAGACCAAAGCTTCTTTTTTCTCTCGCTTTGCCGCCGTTCCTCCGGATATGCTTTTTCCTTTGGATTTTCCACCCGTACCGCTCGTAGATTGCACCATTGGTGCCGTTTCATTTCCGATCGTTTCGTCGTTCGCTCGCTCCGTTGCTAATGCTCCGCCGTTTTCTCGCTCCGTCGCTCCGCTGTTTTCTTGCTCCGTCGTCAACATTTCGGCTTCTTCAATCTGCCCGCTCGCCTTGTTTGATTTTTTTTTACTCTCGTGTCTTTCGTCAGAGGGTTTTTTTCGCTCCGGTTGTTATTCCGCTTCCAAATTTTCATTGAATTCCGCTCTTGTTTGATTTTCCGGTATCTTACCCGTTGCCGTTATCCGCATTATGAGCGGTTGATAGTCATCGTCATCTGATTCCGTGTCGTTCGCCTGTTCGATTCGTCTCCCCTGTGCGGCCGAGTATTTCGAGCCCTTGGCGGCCAATTTTTATCGCAAGTCCTGTGGCGTCGGTGGTTTCGGAACATTTTTCCACGACTACTTGGAGGATGTCGCCGGCGATTTCTTCATTGCAACCCCAGATTTCCTAAGCAGATGCCCATTACTCATCGGTAACTTATGTTTGCTTTCCGCGACTATACTATTTTTGAGCATTCTATGCTCTTTTAAGTTTTTATCGCCCGTTAGCTGGTAAACTGACACCGATGACCCCACTGTCTCGTCCATAGTCTTTGCCGTCGGCTCGTCTTGTTGATTTATGGCTTGCTGGTCTGTTAACAGAAGAGGGTGGTTCCGTCTATTGCCATATTCAGTGTCCAATCTAGCGCCCCAGTTTGTATCCGCCGGGCTGGGCATGTCTCGTACTGTTGGATCTCGTTCGTCTAAACAAGTAGATTTAGATTTAATTACGTTCGACCAGATCAAATTTCTTGATGAGGGCTTCTTGGTTAGCTTTCTTAACATTGTATTAGCCTCCCGACCGTGGTGAGCTTCGAATGGCGTTATTTTGAGAGTCGCGTTGTTTGCAAATTGTAACGCTCCGAAGGCGCTCTCAATCTTTTTCCCTAGGGGTTCCGCTGGTTTTTCTCGTGAGTACGTGAGGATTGAGTTCTTTAAGCTGCCGATTGTTTGTTCACACACCATTTCGCGCGGTGATCGTTCACTGGGGATTGTACGATTTCGATTCCTTCGCCGTTACAAAACGCTTTTACGTCCCTTGACATGAAATTAATACCCTGATCCACATGAATTTTCCTTGGAACACCGTGGTTGTTTATATAGGGCATGAGAAATTCTAAAAATTTGTCCGAACGGTTATTTCCGCAAACCATTGCCGATGGCCAACGGGAGAAACGGTCTACGGCTACGATGACATACTTTTTAGATTCATTCAAATAACTTATCGGCCCCCAAAAATCTAATTGCACCGATTCGTTTGATTCTTTTGGTTCTGCAATGGATCCTAAATCTCCTCTACTACGCATTTACTTAAGATTCTTACCAGCTTCCGTGCACTCTCTGCAGTTCTCTGCCATCGCCGCAATATTTCTGTGAATATATGGAAACCAAATATCCTTAGCTGTCGTAAACATGTTGGATTTCCCGTGATGATAGTAGTGAAGTCTATTGTTTATGACCTTGTGTAGAGTGTTTGGTATAACTAGTTTGTCGTCCATCCATAAGACTTTGTCGCGTACATGAAAGTCGTTGACGAATTGGGAGTAGTAACGATTCATCCTGTGCACCTTTTGTTGTAGTTCGGGGTCTTTTGTTTCCGCCATCTCGTAAATCGCTTGTAATTGTGGATCTGAGGCATTTTTTGACTCGATGAACCTCAGGCTAAACAACTCGCGAAGGGCAGTATTCTTCTGTTTTGTTTTGCAATTCCTTGGCACTATTGACATTATGCACGCTGCCGGATCCACCGTCGGAAAGGATTCCCCTGGAAACGCCGAAGGTATCGAAAGTATGGTATTCGTCTTGGTTGTTGTTGTTTCAATTGTGATCGGTTGTACTTGTGGATTTGCGTCCAGCTCCTCCGCTTCATCTCCGCTCTCTCTCGAATTATTGCTTGGATGTCGCTCTAGAAATCTTTCCATTTTTCGAAAAGTTTTCTTCATCTTTTCGTGTTCTCCGGTAAATCTTGATATAGTATTAATAACTTCCTTGCCGCCGTCGTTTAAGTTGGTAATCGCTTCAACTGTTTTTAGATTTCTCTCGCTTGTCCGTCGGTAGTCATTACGTGTGTGATTTTCATTGGCTGAAGTATCTTCGCATGTTCGCTGGCACTTTAGCGGTCGTTTATTCACAGCAGTTACTGCTTTCCTATTGGTCGAAACATGATTAACTGAGCCATTGGCTTTAAATATTTCCGGTCCTCTGGATGAGCGTGTGTTCATTACTCCGAAGGTTCGATTAATCGAATTTATTTTCGCGACCATAAACATGCTGTCATACTTTGAAATGGGCTTGGCTAAATCGCTAGGGTTCCGAGACAAATAATCAGCCAGGCCTATCTTTACCCCAGGTTTATGTTCGACACAGGAATCAAAAGGAATCGGTCTATCTAACCAACGTGTTTAGCGGCTGAACATCGTTTTGTTTTTCTTGTTTTTCCCGTTTAGTAATGATACAAGAGCTTTATGATCAGTAATAATTGTAAAAGGACGCCCCAAAACGTAATTTCGGAAATACTCTGCCCCCCAAACAACCGCTAAAATTTCTAGCTCGTTAGTCGAATATAGTTTTTCAGCGTTGTTTAGGTATCGCGATGCAAATGAAATTGGCCGCCAACCGTCCGTTCCGAGTTGCTCTAATACGGCTTCTAATCCATCCAAATATCTTTGTGAACGTCAAAATGTTTCAGCTCTACGATATTCGCAACCTCGTTTTTTAAATTCTCAAATGACGCCTGACATTCCAGTGTCCACACATATTCATTCTTTCGGCTTAGTAAAGGGCGTAACGGCGCCGACGATTCTGCTAGCGCCGGCATATACTTATTGAGGCTGTAGATTGATCCCATAAAGGATTTAAATTGCGATAAAGTAGATAAAGTACGAGGTGGGTTAAGTGCTTCAATTGGGGTTATTTTCCGGACTAATGGGGTTATTCCTGTTGATGTGATTCTATGTCCGAGCCATTGGCATTCCCGTTGCGCAAAATTACATTTAGACAGTTTTAATGACTTTTTCCCTTGTCTAGTTTTTTAATATCTTTTCCACCGTGGAGATATGTTCAATTTCCGATCCTCTCTTTGTGATGAGTATATCGTCAATAAATGCGCGTGCCTGTGGAAATTCCGACAGTATGGAATCCATCACTCTTTGGAACTCCGCCGGCATAGATGTTAGGCCATGGAACTCCGTTTCAAATCGATATGTACCCGTCGATTTTCCCCAAAACAGTGAAAAATTACTTTGTACTCTAGTTTCTGAGCTGAGTAATAATTATCCGTACGCGTACGTTAAGTCCATTGTAGAAGAATAAATATCCCCCAATTTCTTTTCGCTAATCATTTCGCCAGCCGTGTCCATCAATTCCTCAAAATTGGGCATTTGATATTTAATTTTATGGACTTGTTTATTTAGTTTTCGGGTCTCCCGGGCCTCCAACTTTACTGACCCATCCTTCTTTACCGTAATCACAATTGGGGAGACAAATTATCGTTCCAAACAGTCAACTAGTTTTTCAATATGTCCTTGTTGTAATAATTTTTCTATTTCGCGGTCTACTTTTTCTTGCGAAGTTATTAGTACACGCCTACCTTTCTGCTGGATAGGTAACAGAGTTTTAAAAATTCCGCCTGTACTTTATAATTTCGTATTTTACCGACCCGTTTAAAAAATTTAGAAAACTGCTCACTAAATTAATCCTGCCATTGATCCAGATTGTTTTCTCCCTCGGCATATTCTCCCTAGGCGTGCTCTCCATGGATCTCCATCACCCGCTGCCCTGGTGTCTTTTGAACCAGCTGCAATCTCAAATGCGGCAAAAGATCTCGGTCAATTATTGAAGGGCGGTTTCCTCCAATCACTTTGCTAGTTGCTATCGTCTCCCATCCGTTTGATGTTAATTGCACTTGCATAGTTCCCAATAAACTCAGCGGAATGTTGCCGTAATACCGGAACTCTTGATACACTTGTGCTAATTCCTTCAGATGTACTCCGTTTGTGCCTAATGTCCTTCTTAACTCCCCAATTGTAAAGATCAATTTTGGTGACCCGCAGTCAATCCATACGCTTGTCTTCTTCCCATTTATCGCAGGGGGCAACTTAGCGCCTGCTACTTTCAGCTCGGTCCTGTTCTTTGATCTAATTGACATGATTAAACAATCTCCCGAACTGTCCGAGTCCCAAGAATGATGCTGTTTTGTGGGCTTTGGGGTATTTACCCATCCCACCGAACTTTCTTGTACGATTTCGTCAATGTCTTCTTGCTCGTAATGATACTGATCATCCTGTTCCTGAATCATCTCCGATGACTGGCGTCCCCGGTTATTTCGTTTTGCTCGGCACGTGCGCTCACAATGGCCCACCTTTTTACAAAAGTTGCACGTTTCCCCCTTCGCGGCACGCTCATTCAGATAATCCCTGGTGAATTTGGGCTTGTCACAGTTATAACATTTACGTTCGCTTACATTTCCCCCTCTCCGAAATTGTCCTCGTCCTTGTGTTTGACCTCATCCGCGCCCTCGGCTGTTCCGGTATCACCCTCGGATTACGCCCACCGGTTCCGATTTAATCTGAAGTCCTCCAGCCATCGGTGCACTTGATCCTCCGGTGCCTCCCGTCGTTGCCACGTATGTTCTTGCATATTTATCTCCCCTTTCATACGATAACGCGATCCGATGCGCCTCTTCCGGCGTTTTTGTTGCGCGACATAGCTTAATTTGGGCCTCCCCGTTTGTCATTTTCACAATAAATACATCTCGCAGTATTCTGGACTCCATTTTTCCGAACGCACACCGGGCTGCTAGCCCGCTAAGAACAGAATGAAACTGTTAAAGCGGCTGGCCGATACGTTGCTTGCGTGACAGTAATTGAAATACCTCGTACGTCTCTTTCCTTTCCTTTTTAAATTCTCCCTCCATTGCGTCCAACACTCTCGGGTATCTTGTAGTTGTCAAATCCAAGTGAGGCCTCCTGTTGTGCAATTCGTCCTGCCCCTTCTCTCCCAGACACAAATTCATGTTTGAAATTAATGTTTGTTCTGGAGCCAATCGATTCTTTCCGTCAACTTCCTCCGGCAAAGCGAAGCGGTGACTTGGTCTGCAGTAAGGCTCGCTGTGTGGTAGTAGTTTTTCGGGTTGATTGTGTGCTTTGCCACCATTCCCCATTGAAATCTGTTCATCCAGAACTCCCACTGCATTGGTGGCTCCGCGCAATTGAGTGGCCAAAAGGACATGATGCCTAATGGGTTTTTCCCCCACCTTGATTTGCTGGCTGCGCCATGTTGAAAAAGATGATGTAGTAAAATTAAGTTCCAATCTTAATTAACAACCGTTTCTTATAAGATCATAAGCGACAACTGAAATAGGAGATTACCGAAGGTGCCAAACGCTCCGAAGGTTAGTACCTGTCAACTAAGTCTAGCACCGGTGTGAGAGAGTGGTTGATTGATAGATATAATATTGAACATAAACTAAACGGGAAGTGAACTAGTTTGATCACTATGAAACGACCTCAAAGTGAGCAGTCTTAGGTTAATTGAACTTTGTTTTTTCTCGCTGCAGAACCGACTTTGGGCTGCGGTCATTTTTTTATTGTGGAGCGGAGCTATGGATTATGTTACCGCTGGATATTAAATGTGCAGCGACATTTACTGTGATTAAGAAGAAACTTAAGACACATCTTTTTTACTGTATTGACTGAGCACTTGAGAGTCTCTTTGAAGTTTGGTGCTTAAATAAACTTTTAAAAATCATAATAATTAACTTCATTGAGATTTGATAACCGATTAAGGAGTTTCGCCTACGATTTGGCTTTTATTTTTACTATATGTAATCTTCTTGAAGGTTCCTGCCGGAGAGTCCCCAGTTCCACGTGGCCAGCAACCAGGTGGAGAAGGCGAGGAAAGTGATGATGAAGGGAGCTAGGATTAACCGGATGCAGTTCAACTACCAGCTGAAGCCAGCCATAGAAGCAGACTCCTCCGAGGCAGTCGGAACCAGAGTCTACACTCCCCTAGACCTGGTCAAGACCCCGAGGATTCGCGTATACTTCTTCATGGTCTCATCACTTTGGTAAGTTAGCAGTCAGTTTTTTTTCCGTTGTTTTTTCTGTCATAAAAAAGAGTGGCAGTCGATGTCTCAAAAGGGGGTTTTAAAAAGTATATTATGTAAAATTGAAACCGGGTCAGAAGAACTAGGAAAATGTGAAAAATGGATGCTAATATTACGCTCGGCAACTGGTGATTAAGTTCAAATCTCAAATATACTTCAATATACTTGAAAAATTTCCAGGATGAATGACATAATCCCGAAAAAGTTAAATTTAATTCCAACTCTAGGTTCGTGAACAATCTGGGCTACTACATGTTGAGTCTGGCCTCGACCAGGTGGGGTGGCAATGTGTACATCTCCTTCTGTCTGGGGGGAATTGTGGAGTTGCCCGCATACGCCGTCGCATTCGTACTCGCTGAACGGTAATATCCCTATAGTCAGTTCAAAAAACATTATTCTGATGATTGTTATTTTGCAATTGTGCTTACTGCGATTCTTAGAGCATCTATGAAAATCTATTTTTCAATCAGGCTTTATGAAGTTCATTAGTGAAATTGACCAGTTTTCAAACCGGTCATTTTCAATTAGAACATCTCTAAGTCGCATCTCAGATCGCAAAAATTGAAATTACAGACCAAAGGTGTGGATAGGAATTTTGAATTCGGGCTTAATTTTTTCCACGCAACTTCTGAGTACCACAAAAGGGTATCGTACGTGGTTGAGTTACATAATATTTTGAGGCTACGTTTTCATAGCGTATTGCACATCTTATTGAGCCAAAACGCAATTTAAAAAATTTCTCTGAGCTTTTTTCCACACGTTTTATAGATGCTTATTTTTCATCTACCAGAGCAAAGCCCTAAATGTTCCAAATGCTCGTTTCTTGGTCTCGAATGTGGTTTTTGGTTAATTAAGCATTGACAAACTAAAATTTCAGGCTTAGAATATCAAATTTTAAGTGGTTTAAATCGAGTCGTCTATGGAATTTATAAGACCAATTAGCTGCCTCAATTCTTTTACGGTGGTGCGGGAATGAAGGGATCAATCCCCTGAGATTAAGGTTCTTCTTAAACCAGCCGAGCATATATTTTACTTTTTTCGAAATTCAGAACAATAAATAATTAGCCATATAAAAGTACGAAAAAGCAACATAAGAAAAACGAACTAGAACGTATCCGCACTGGAGTTCCATGGATGAAAACCAATTAAAATTGAGTTTTGCAGTCAGTGTCCATAAAAACAAAAAGTAATCGTTTATAATCAATTAAAAATTAATTATAGTGCCAGTTTTAAAACAAAAAACATTAAAATCCATCGCAAATCAATTATAATCAATTATTTTTCACTTTATTAGATAAAGACAATTTAACTCCTTTGTAATCGATTTTTTCGATTTTATTGAAATGCAAGCTTGAACGCACAACAGAGTTAATTGCACGTTTTAAACTAATGTTGCTGACTTGTTATTCAATATGCGAATCAAAATATCCTAAAAACATCCGGCAAATTTTAAAAAGTAGGTCAATTATCAGATTTCTACCGTTCGCTTAAAAGCTGCTGTGGTTAATTAGTTTTGGCTGGATAAATAGTGACCACTGCAGTCGCGCCAACGTGTGAAGAGCTTGATAACAGAGGGTAGGACTCTATATAAAGTTTTTTACATCTTCACATCAGATCAATTTAATCATATAAATAGCTATTTGATTTGAAAATATGGAACACCTATAGCCAAAAAAAGCTAACTTAGAGCAACTAGCTTTGTACAACGCGTGACCGTGGAATTTTCCGACCCAGAAATCTCCCAAATGGAATTGGACCAATCTAAGCAGCTCAAGCAAGGTAATATTGGGTGCCCGATAAATTGCCCACTTCTTCAGAAAGCATTTTGGGATAGATAAAAAGAAAAACGTTTTTCTTTATTTTTTTATCAATTTTGCTAACTGAAATTAAATTGCGTAATTTTAAGAGTCAGTCGGATCAGTCAAGGCTTCTCTCAAAATTCAGCAGTCTTGTTTTTTGTTTGCATTATAAATGCTGGTGTCTGGTATATCTTTTTTTTGGTTTGTGTGAGATAACTTTTTAATTTTTCGGATGTGTGAGATATCGGATGTTAACACGGCTCATCTGAAACAAGAAAAGCAAAACTCTAAAACAAAACCGTGGAAGAATTGAGTGAAAATTTTCCTGAAAAAGTAGTCAATTAACTGTAGGCAATTATCTGTTTTTACAGTTTCTGAAGCAAAAAGTGCTCCATGAGGTTAAGGCCATACTTGTTTTGTAGAAAAAATGGAAGCTTCGCGTCGCAAACACTAGCGAAAACGCGACAAACAGCAGTTCTATAAAGTGCAATAAGAAAAAAGAATTAAGCCTCAAATTAGTTTAAAAAAATATTTCGGCTGCTACTCGGATTCGATCTCCGACCAATCGCAACCAACAGATTATGCGTCTCACGCTCTAACTACTGCGCCACGGACGCTTAATTGATCACAAAAACTGGCCAAAAATAAGCAGAGAACAGATGCTATGAAATTTCCAATGCTACAGATCGTGATTATAGCGAAAGTGCCATCAAATAGTAAGTGAATACTTGCCACCAAACAATGAACAATTTTATTTGCGACTTAGGTTAGAAAAAAAAGAAGGCGTGCACTAATGCACTAGCTTCTAGCTAGAGTAATAGGTAACTGACCATTTCCGTAACTGAGAAGTTTTGGGAAATTCAGTCATCTTTCGAAGTCTGCAGCTAGACAATCTCACTTTAAAGTTTTGATTTTGCATAGAACCGTCTGTACTGCAAAAATTATAACTACTGTTTAAAAGATTTATCATTGAACAGAAAGTATTATTTACTTTAGTTGCTTTGTGCGAGGAAACAAAAAGAAAAATTGAGCGCTTAAAGTTTCAACGAAAATTTATACGCTAACATCACTTTGAGCCAACCTTGAAAAATGGACGACAAAAATAAACACTAATTGTTTATTTATGCGACTTCATTATTCTATTAGGAACCACGAATTACCCTAATAAAGCAATTAGTATTTATAAATTTCTCCTATTGTCTCAAGGTTGACTAACTTTGAAGTTAACATGTAACATTCTCTCTTCAACAATTGATGAGCTAATTCGTCGTTAATTGATTTTGCATCATCTATTTCAAATAATGACGCTAGATTTTTTGTAATGGGATAGTTCTCCAAAAAATTATGGGATCTTTTTTATGTTGATTGCATTTGATTTTCTAAGTTTTTATGAATACCTTACAAAATACCACATTTTGCTCAATATTGAAACTAAAACTCTGGTAAAGTTAGAGGTAAGATAAAAACACAGAGCCGAACTTGTACTTCGCATACACAAGCAAAAGTATGACCGAGAACGCTACTGCGAAAAACCGAATGAGTCAAACTTTCAGTCTACAAAACTTCTTAAGTGACGCACGCCAATTACGAGTCTACAGAATTGCTAAGTGACGCAAACCAATTATGACGCATTAGCAGTACCAGTCGATTTGAAAAAAGAATTACCATTTAATATGCCTCAATTTATGAACCGGACACATTTTGAATAGTAACGAAAAAAAATCATTAAGAACGTCTGACCCAGCCCTGGATCGAACCCTCTTATGTTGTCGCGGGTCTCATTCTCTACTACCCTCTACGCTACAAATCCATGATACCTTGAAGCTAAAGTGCTATAGGGACTATGATAGGCTGTGTTAATATCCTTAGCATTAGCTGTAATTAGTGGCTGGTTATTGACCAAAATGAATACTTTCAAAATGAACACATATTGTCGCAACAATATTTGCGACTTAGGTTGGAAAAAAAAGAGAGTTCATACTATTACACAATCTTTGTAGTGTCGCAACTATTGTCGCAATTTTGTAGTGCGTTCAAAAAGTGACAAATTTATTTTTGGGAATTAAATCAACTTTTGAACAAGAAGTAGCTGAGCCGGTTGCTTAGTTCAAAATTTTTTGTTTTCAGTCTGAGATACTTGGTTCGTATCCCGAGCTGTCTCCCTCAAAAGTAGTAGCCAAAAAAATGTGTTTTTTATCAAGGGGTATAATTTGATAAGCTCGAAATAGAAACGAGGTAAAACGGTGGTGAAATTTTGTAAAGACAGGGTCAAGATTTTTCGAAACACTATTTCACTTTATGTTTTTGAGAGTTCTAACTTGACTTATATCTCATGACAAAAGTTGTCGGCAATGCAAATAGCGCAGATGATTATCAGCTTTCTGCTGATTTGAAGGTGTTTTTCGGTCAACATCAATTTGATGTCAAATTATTTTCGGTTTTTACACATAATTTTCTGAAACGGTATCATTTCAACCAGTGAGTTAATGATAAAATTTATTACTCCACTTGAAATATGCTGCTCGATTTCCGCTTATCTTAAAAACCATGATTCGAATTTGGAGAGAAATAAGTGCACCTGGAACCGTTCACAAACTGGTCACTAAAGTAGTTAACTAAAATAGTTAAAGAACAAAGTTAACTGGCAGATGGCAGATGTAGTGACAGCTTCTATTCAAAATAAAAACAATCAACTCACGGTTTCTCAGCAAAATTCTGTTGATTTTTACTTTTCCTTTTCGATTCTTAATTAATTTAAACTAATTATGAAATGATTTAGTGGCGAACACTTATTCACATTGAATATATCTCGTGCCCAGTTTAAGCCCAGAGGAGCGAAGCGGAGCAAATGGTGTCTACCAGACAATGCTTTACTTACACTTAGCCGTCTGATTGACTTATTGTGTAGGGACCTGGTTAAACATAAATCTGGAAAAAAACTTGCAAAAAATGCTCAAAATTGGCAGTAGATTGCTCTTTTAAACTAACTCAAATTATCCGAACTTTTTGCTGCTTATTATATTACTCATTTAGTTATCGTGCACACCAAGGTTTACTCATATTGACGAAAAAATAATGCTAAAAAACAGAGTCAGCCTAAAACGCTCTCAATTTAGAGCAATATGAATCTAAAGGTTTCCGCTTATCTTAAATAGTGTCATCAATTTGGTGTTACAGAAAATTGCGAAAACAGACAAAACTAAAAAAAAAATAGTAAATGATTATTGCAGATAAATTTTCCGTGCAAAAGCTAAATTATCAAAAAATATGTCTCAAGTTCACCTAAAAACCAAACCTGCTCAAAATTAGCAATAGCTTTCTTTCGTTGTCGTTCCAATTTTTTGCAGCTTAATAAACAGAGGCGAAGCTGAGCTTTGCACTACTTGCGATACAACTAGATCTATCAAAATGATTGAAGTTACTTGAGGAAAAAACATATCCAGACAAAAGGATGAGCAATCAGCGTCGGAACGAAACTAAGCAAGCGGTAACAAAGCCGAAAACACCTGAGCAAAAACTCATGCCTAGTTTTTTAAATTCAAAACTACTCGAAAAATTTTAAGTGGTACTTCCCCTCAGAGCACACACACGCAGAAAAAACTTTCCGCTAATCAAAAGAACCAAAAAGAGACTACCTAGCCGATTTAGAATAAGCCGAAAACTATAAAGACAAAGCAAAACAGAAATTGAAAAAAGAAGTTTTAAAAAACCGATTTTAAAAAATTACAAACAACATAAAAATGGGGAGGGGAGCAGTAATAGATACGACCAAAAATAAGGTGGCCTAAAATAAGACAAATATTAGGCCAAAAAATTTGGGACAAATAAAGGAAAAGAAATACGTAAAAAATTTCAGAATTAAATCAAAACGCTACAAGCAAAATCAATGTTAACTGCCTGCAGCAAAAACCGATTCTAATATGTGGCAACTAAGCCAAAAAAAACATGAGCAGACAATTAAAAGGCCGAAAACTTTATTTGAAACATTTTTTTCCAATAATAAATATAGGTCCTGATCAGATTCCAACTAAAGTCCTTTGCCCTCCCAGGCATTTTCATTACCTCCAGGCTAAGGGTGCCGCGAACGATAAGAAGTTTGAATATTAAGTACGGAAAAAAGTATCGTACTCGATTGCAATACCCTTGCTGATGTCAAGGGCAAATATAATAGAGTGTATTGCGTGTGATGCACTAGGTATGGGCGGAAGTGGACGCTGGTGTGCGCGGAGTGGTGTCTGGCAGTATTCTGTTTTCTCCTCGGCTACTTCAACACCTACCTGCCCGAGTCACACGACTGGGCCGTCATTGCAGTCGGTATCTCCTGTAAATTCTTCGTCGGAATCACATTCTCTCTTCTACTACTCATAGGCAAGTGCCGAAAACGATTGAATTAATCTAAAATATGGGAAAACTCAGACCCGTTTGTCTCGAAATTGATACAACTTTTTTGATGTTTTTAGAATGCAAATCACGACTGAAAGGGTTTTAGTATAATATTTTGTCGATCGATACCTGTATGAGTTTTATTTGAAGCCCCTAAATTGGCTGAAAAACCCACTGCGCACTATGGTTTTTTAAATTATTTTGTCGCCTGAACAATGATAAAAATTTTAAAAAGCAAAAATGCCCGCTTGCAGAACAAATCACCCCAAAAATCACCCTGAAACAGTTATTTTATGTATTTATATCAAAATAGAAAAATTGAAGAGATAGGCAAAGTTAATGTTCAACATAAATGTTTAATGTTGAACGCTCACGGGGACTTTAAACATAATTGTTCCCAAGTAGGTTTCTGACTATGACGTACGATTCATTTTGTTCCAGTCAATTACGACAACATCAAAGAAAGCTTTTAGGTAGTCAAGTATGGTAACATTTTAAAGAAAAGGTTTGCTTTGGTGTCGAGAAAAAGTGGTCTGCAATTTTATCGTTTGTCAGATAAAATTAGATGAGATTTGATAAGAAGCGGGCCTCCCAAATTTAATGCTACTATAATTTTAACGATAATTTGACTTTAGTTTCCATCTTTTCTTGTAATTCTTTTTACCTAATTTCGCCCAGTTTTCTTGAAAGAAAAACAAAAAAAAACAGATAAAACTGCAATCATTTTTTCAAATTACTTTTTATTATGTCAAAATACCTAAACAAAATCAAAACCGCATTGTCTTAAAAACAAGAACACTTCGATCAGTAATGTTTTACCGATCGAATTGCAACTTTTTTTAGCCATGGTAGCCATTAAAAATTCAATATTCAAATAACAAAAAAATTGCTGGTCAGCTTTTCAAAAACGGTCAGTATTCTGCAACGGCTTGGATAAAATGTGCCTTTGTTACAGCTAATTCTACTTATGTACAGATAAAAATGTAGGTTAAAAGTGAATTAATCTCAAAGTTAAAACATTAAAAAGTGAAGGAGCATTCTCTCCGCCGGAGAGAATGAACGTATCGAGGTCATAACTAAGTACTAGTTATCATGACCAACAAATTAATTATAAAATACGAATAAGATAAGGCAATTCACATCATTCCCCTTAATAGGAAAAAAATAAACTAAATTAAAGGCAACTGGCCCTTTTCTCCCCCTAAAGAAAGCTGACGAAATGTTAATAAAAGCGCAAAATACTACAGTAAAAATTAATACTCCGTAAGATCAATTTTTTGGTATAAAGTTTGTTAAAATAAGGCATAATAAGCTTAATAACTTTAAATCGGCATGATAGGCATGATGAATCCGGCGGAATACGCCCCCACCCCCCGCCAAAAAAAATACGCTGACTAGTTAAAGATAACTAATCCTAACTGCACTGGGTTTTGTTACTGGCTCTGAGTGATTTAAAAATTAAAGAACGATGATTAGCACTAAAAGTTACACTGGGTACTACATTTGGTAATAACAATTTGAGTTTAAAACGTTTTCAGTTTTGAAAATTGTCGCCTTCGATGAATTTTTCTAATTCGGCATTAAAGAGTTCGCTATCGAAAGCAACGAGCTCGTCAAAACTGTTTACAGCCTCTCTTAATGACTGGTCGGTAGAACAAATAGAAAATGTGTCCAATGATGAGGAGTCTGATGAACTTGCTGTAATTTTCACCGAATGAATACTGAAGAAAGGAGTTTTCTTATCCGAAGGAATTTGTGTAGTGGAAGTGTTGGTATTACCGTCGAGTGAGATTTGGTTTAGTGCTGATCCAGGTTGGTTGATTCTGTCGTGTATAATATCCATATAAAACCTTTTACTATAGAATTGAGGAGGTCCTAAGTTACGGCTCGAACGTCTTAGTTTAAATTCATTACCGGTGGTACTGATTTCCTTCGAACGTGGTCCCTGGGTAGTAGCATTGTCATCTGAGGAATCAACAATCTCATAGATTCGGAAGTCGACCGATTTGTCCCCCTCCAATTTCTTCCATGGCTCCGTTGGAGTAGATGAAGGTTTAGTCTCTAAGTCTAAAGGGAAATGAGTGGTTTGTTGATGTTGTGTTGAGTTCTGTCCTGCAGGAATTATACTGATCGGGCAATCCAACGGATCCGAAGTTGAAGGCTGGTTATCTAAAATCTCAGATTTTATGTTACCCTGGGTTGCTTGAGGATCTAGAGAGGGTATAGGAGGTTCATATTGGCTACAATTATCCGAAATATTGCGTTCTCTAATCTTGTCTCTGCAAGGGAAACCGCAATCGCGTTCTCTCCAATCGCTAATGTCTGACGTATCCGACGGAATTATCATAGATTCTTCACCTGATAGGTAGCCCGCGTATGATGTAGTGTCTTTGTTTCGAGTTGGTTTGCTCTTGACTGGTTCAGAGGATGGGATTGACACCCTTGTCCTAGTTTAGTTGTCGGAAGTGGCCGATTTTGTCTGCTGTCTTGTCGTCGGGCCTGTTTTTCTTGTCGGCAGAAATTTTGGTTTGGTCGTCTTCCTTGAACCTACTTCAAAATCAAATTTAGGAAATGATGGAAAAGAGATATTTCCTCTAAAGGAGCGTGTAGTAGATGAATTCGATTTCGGGAGAGTAATGTCAGATTTCTGATGATTTTTCCGTCGGATAATTCTACCGTGGTTTTTGATGCGTTTATAATTTTCTGGTTAAGTTGTTTGTAGAAAGGGTTTTCGTTTATGCTTCCTTTGATTTTCCGTAGTTTTTTACCTTTAAAAAGACTTTGAAGAGGCAAGCGAGAAGAAGAGGGTTTCGAAGCTGATGGGTAGTCCGACTCATACCCTTTCTCCAATGGGGACTGGTTCTTCTTTGGTATTAGGTTGTCTTTGTAGCCGTCTTCAATCCGGTCATCTGCTTTCCAGTCTAGAGTCCGTTTCTTGCATAAGAATAATTTTTCTTTGTCTAAAAATCCATCGGATAATTTATTAGAGGCCAATTGTTTCCAGATCGTATTAGATGTCCTATTGAAGTGTATTTTGAATAGTGAGCATTTTATTTTTGATTGAAAAGAAGAACGGAAATTCCAAATAACTTTTGAGATGATGTGTTGCAGGGTAGGTTTTGTTTGTTCGAGAGCCATTGTTAATAATTTAATTAATATAGTATGAACAAGTTTTTCTACAAGACCGTTAGAGCGATGGTCGCCGACTGTACAAAATATTAATTTAATATTATTGGGATCGCAAAATAAATTAAAATCATGGCTAGTAAAACAGGAAGCGTGGTCAACTCGAATAGAAATTGGAATGCCACGAAAGTAAAAATAATCCTGGAGAAAGTCAATCACTGTGTTTGAAGAGGTTGACAATGTTGTTTTAGACGATGGAAATTTCAAAAATCGGTCGATGCATAGTAGAAGGTATTTATTCTTTCCCCAAGTGGAATTCAATGGACCGGCAAAATCGAGATTCAATTCCTCGTTAGGTTCGGATAAAAGTGGTAGTTCGCTGAATTGAGTATTAGGTATGATGCTTTTTATATTCTTACCGGTCTGAGTGCACTGGGAACAATTTATCCCGTGGAAATAAATCTGGCGATTTATGTGTGGCCACCATATGTACTGTGCTAGTTACTTCATACCGAATTGTCCAGGGTGGGATTCGTGAAGGGTTTTCAATACCGCGTTTCGTAAAGTAAAGGGGATAACAAGTTTTCCATCCCTGCAGAGCAATCCGTCGGATTCATGCAGATTTTTCTAAATTGGTTTAGGTAATGAGAGTTGGCGTTAATCTTTTCTTATTTATTTTGAAGGGCTTTAACGATCGGACTTAACATTGGGTCTTCCTCAGTTGATAGGGCAACGAATTTAGCATGAAATAACGAATTTAGCTCCAAAGGTCGCTCCGGCAGCTTCAAATTCTCACGATATTTTGCCACTAACTTTTCGTGTTCGGATTAAATTGGGAATTCGACTGTGACCTCAATACCAGAAGAAGAAGGATTAATTACGATTTGATTGTTCGACATACTTACACTATTTACAATTTAAGATCCGGAGAATTAATAATTAAGCTACAATTAAGAACTATAAAATAAAGAAAAGCAGAATTTGATAAAGAAATTTTGTTGAATCAATGTTCGAGAAATCCGAAGGAATACATTTAGAATTACTAAGTCCAGTTCTGTAGTGTTTTAGATTGCAAATTGGAACAGTTGAAATAATGAATTTGAGAACTGAGATGATCACATAATTAACGTAATTTTGCGTAATTGGAATTTTCCAAATTTGAACAAATAGCCTTACATATCGATTTTCCGTTATCCAATGGATTCAAAGCTTTTCAGATTTTTTTGAGAGTAGCAACTACAAATTCTTTGTCGTAATGAGATGGGGAAATTGCTTTTCCTGAGGGGGATCTTGAAATTAGATCAGTAAAACCCATGTCTTTCCCTGCTAAGTGTTTTATTGTGAAATTAAACGGTAAAAGACGATCAACCCATCTTGTTAAAAGACTATGATAAGTTTTATTTGCGTGAATTGGTGAGAATGCTGAAAAGTGGGTTTTAGGGTCAGTAATAATTTCAAATTCTGAGCCGCAAAGATAATTCTTATATTGTTCTACCGCCCAAACAATTCCCAGCAATTCCAATTCATTTGTGGAATATTTGGATTCATGTGGATTTTAAAATCTTGAGGCGAAAAAGACTGTTTTCCAGTCATTTCTATGGAGTTGTTCGAGGGAGGCACCAAGTCCATTATGAGAGGCGTCAGTTTTTAATCTCGTAATAAGTTTGACGTCAAAGTGTGTGTTTTCGGTAAGGCTGACTATTTCTAATTTGATTCTCTCGAATGCCTTTGTGTGATCTTCGTTCCATAAAAAAATTGATTTCTTGTTTAGTAGAGATTTTAATAGACTTCCGAGGGATGCTAGATTTGGCACAAATTTGATATATTGGTTTGTTGACCCGGAGAATGATCTTAATTCCTTTAAATTTTTTGGAATTGGGATATCTTTGATAGCCTTGGTTTTGTCAATTTTAGGGTCGATCCCTGATTTAGATATTTTAAAGCCGAGCCACTCTATTTCTTTTTGAAAGAATTTACAATTTGGCCATTTGACTGCGAAATTGTAATTATCTAAAAACGAAAAAATTTTATGAACATTGTTCTTGTGTTCAGTAAAACTTCCTTTGGAAGCAACTAAAATATCGTCCAGGTAACAATTTGTAAATGGAGTTTTTCCAATTGTTGAGTCCATGACTCTTTGAAAGTCATTTGGTATATCGCCGAGTCCATAAAAACCAGTTAAAAATTGGTAAGTAACGGTTATGTCTCCGCCTACCAAGCTAAAGTTGCATTGACTGCTGGTAAAGTTATCTAAAAAAGTTGGCTGTATGCGTTCTTTAAGTCCAAATTGGTAAACGAAACTTCTACAACTGAATCGTTTGAAACTTGCGAGGCCACGTTATCGACTAATTTGTGAATAATGGGCATCTGATATTTGTTCTTGTAAAATTGTTTGTGAATGAATTTCGAATCTAGAGCTAATTTGATCAGTTTATCCTTTTTGCAGGTGGTAACTAATAAATCTATCCTCGTTGCAATTTTCCAATTTTTTGATATGTTCTTCGGATTTGAGTCGGCTTAGTTCTGTCTTTACTGAATCAAGTAAATGTAGGGGAACGCGTCTGCCCTTTAGTTGTATTGGTTTTAAAGGTTCGTGGAAATGTGTTATTTTTGTTTGGTTTTTAATTTTTCCAATCCGAAGGAATAATTGTTTAAAAGTCTTGGATATAATATCTATTTCTTTCTCTTTGTCAGGGAAAAAAGTTAGATTAATGGACTTACAGGTTCTCTTGTTAAAGTAGTGTGGGAAGTGCTTCTGAGATACTTCGATTCCCATTTTCGGTAATTTGTCGTTTCCAAGGATATTCCTCTCGTGTCCTTCTGTCAAAAAAAGGCATTCTCTATGAGACCATCTCTATGAGACCGTTCAAAAATATGGTAGGATTAACTTTCCAGTGATGTTATTCGCGTTATCTGTGAACCCACAGTAAAGCTCTTTCGTCGACTGATCCACCGGATATATTTTCAAGTAGAGGTCTCGTAGCTTCAATTCGTGAAGGAGATTCCGTTTGAGGAAGCTCACTGGGCTGGCTGAATCAACTTGGCTATTGAGGAATACTTGGTTTTCTTTTCCTAGTCAGTCTGATGTTTAGTAATTTATTTAATTCTTTTCCTTGGTTATCGTAAATAAATGTCACATTTAATACAGAGTAATCATCCTTATCGCTCTGTCCGCATTCTGACCATGCATTGATAACTCCACAACGTTCTCTATTTACACGGTCGTTATTTACATCCAGTTGTTCCGAGGAATAATTACAATCTGTATCATGTAAAATTTGGCTATCTACAAAATTTACAGTTTTACGACGTGATTTTTATAGTCTGGTGAAATGTAGGCGGTTTTTACAGGATGTACAAGTTGTGTCTTTTAAAAAATGTTCCGCCGCATTTCATGCAAGTTGCTCCGTTCGATGCTTAAAGTTGGTTCCCTTTTTACATTAAAATGATTGAAGGGTTTGGTTAAAAAGATCCGTTGGATTTAAAATTACTCTTCATTTTCATGTGGTTCGTTATTCCTTTTTCGTCAAGGAGAGCCACGTTTAGTGCCTCTAGAGGTGGTAGAGTTTCTGTAAGGAGTTTGCGTTGAATGTCCGAGCTCTTCAAATTATTAATAAAAATAACTCGTATCATTTTGTCTTCTCCTACGGTTATATTACATTTCTTTGCCATTTCTGCGGGGTTCCCAAAAATTGCTCCAACGATTCTCTATCTCTCTGTTTTCTGTTCAATTGCTTGTGTCTTTCAAACGTAACGTTGGTTTTCCTCACGAATGCTACTGACAGATTTTCCCAGAACTCCTTGAAAGAAATTTGGAGGATTTTGACTCGCGTAATTTTTTGGCCGAAGATTTTCTTTCCTTCGTTTCCGAGGGCTGAATAAAGGATAGATCGGAGTTTTTTGTCAGCTTGTTCAAATCTCATGCCATTGAATTTTTTTGTTTCCGTCTTCATCGAAGCTGTCTCTTCATCGTCATATCTCTTTTGTTCACGGATACTCTTTTCCAGACGGGTCAGTTTTTGGGTTTCCGTTTCGCCCTCCGGTGGATTTTCCAATAAAAGCGGGTGTGGGTGGTATTGTTCTATCGGGTTTAGAAGGTGGTCTTTGTCGATGCTTTTTTTGCCATTGCTGCCAGTTGGAACAGATCGCTCCTCTCCTCCCAGGGAATTGGTGGGTCCACCGTATGGTTTTGCCAAAATGAAGGTATATCTTTCACGTTTGATTCGTTACTGTTTGACTGCGCCATGATAAATGTTCCTTTGTTACAGCTAATTCTACTTATGTACAGATGAAAATGTAGATTGAAATTGAATTAATCTCAAAGTTAAAACATTAAAAAGTGAAAGAGCATTCTCTCGGCCGGAGAGAATGAGCGTATCAAGGTCATAACTAAGTAACAGTTATGATGACTAACAAATTAATTATAAAAAACGAATAAGATAATGCAATTCACATCAAGCTTCGCAAGAGATTCATTTTCCCCCGCTTTTTAAATATGCAAACATAAAATTTTTAATGTTGAGCTTTTGTGAAAAACAGAAGAATGTAGGAGTTTAAGTTTTTAAAGAATGAGTGAACGTCCAATTTCTCATAAGTTTGTATCATTTATCTAGTTTTCTGGTCATTTATCGTTTCGACATGATATTTTAAAGAGGTTTAATTCAAGGTTTAGTAGTGATGCAGACTCATAGAGCAAATAGGTTTTTTCAAAAAGTAACCCCATAAGAGTAACTATAAAGAAGTAATAATTATTTAAAATTTTAGCGATCTGGCTTTTTTTGACGCCCTAAAACGCTTGTGAGTCGTAGATCTTTCTTACTGCAAGAAAATAAATGATGTACAGTTAAGGAAAAAATATTTTTTAAACTATCTCTCTCCGCCAAAAAACCCAGCTGTAAACAATTTTAAGTCAAAATGAATGAAGTGAAGAATATTATTTAGATCTCGTTATATTTTTCAGGTAGAACTCTATAAACTTGTTCACACTCAATTGTTTTTCGGGCTTTACTTTTGATTTTTTTTTAAATTTCGAAATTGAGAAAATTTAAGATGATGTATAATTTTTTCGATCACGGAAAATTAATTAAAATACATCAATAACGTTTTTCGGTTTTCTAGAGTTCATCGACATTTTTCCAACTGTCTGCAGGGCCATGCTGTATTGCTTACAGCAGGCTAAAAATGAAAACGACTTATTTTTACCACGCACAACCCAGTTGGTGTGATGAATGCCTTAAGCTTCGATTGCTCTGATAAAAGAAAAAAAGTTTTCGCTTCGTTTCAAAAACGAATACAAACAGAGCAGCTAAAAGAAGCGAAACTGGTTGATTTGTTCATAGGCACTGAGGTGTTTCCTACTGTGGTTCGTGGCATGGCAGTGGGGGCTTGTACTCTCATCGGGGACTTCGGATCAGTCATGGCGCCCTCCATCTTCTTCCTCGTTAGTCTAATCTACTCAATCAAACTACAATGCCTTCCTCCGAATTTCCCAAACCACGATATTCATCACGTGTTTTTTCATCTAAGTTGCTAAAATTTTCGATAAAGTAGTCTAATTGTTACCCGTAGATTCCTAATTTAGACAAACTTTGTGAAGGCACAAGAACCGAATGAAAGCCATATTTAGTGTTGAGACTGCAAAAGATTAACTAATGCTATGTTGAACTAAATAAATTCAATGGACTGAATGACTTAATTAAAAACAGCAATAAAGTAAAATCAACTGACTTCTATCTGTAACGCACGAACAATTTACAAGTTTTGTCACCTCTTTGTAAGGTTTCAGTCACTTACTAAGAAAATTAGCTCTCCCAGATTTGAACCATTCATCATTTAGGATTAAATCAATCATTGAAAATGTCCGATTTACCGTTGATGACGTTCTTGTCGCGGGTGAATCAGGCATGTTTGATCATTTAAGCGCAAATCGTGGAGTTATTCTTTGTGTTTGGATATCAACTGTTCACACTTGTTCAGGAGCAGATCTACTCGCCTCTGCCGTACCTGATAGTGGGTGTGGCCTCAGCGCTGGGTGGGTCAAGTGTGATCTTCATCGCAGAGACATGGCACAGACCCCTACCAGTCACCATTCAGGACACAGAGACACTCCACAAACGACCTCCACTCACGCCGGTATGTAAGAGCTACTGTCACTAAGCCACTGACAAAGTCACACCTCCCTAAAAGTCAAACCTCCCGAGGTAAGTCACACCTCCCTAAACCAATCGAGAGGTCGCTGATTCGAGACTCACGAGGAACCTCTGTGACCCATAGAAATACGGAGACAGCATTTTAATTGTATAATACAATACAAACCAACTGCCTGAAAAACTTATAAGAGTTGCAATCAAACACCAAAAACCAGTTCCTCGAAAAGTTCTGCAAAAAGGCATCAGAAAACCATTTATGAAAATAAACATGAAAATTAAATTCTATAAATTATTCACAAGAAAAGTTTTTTTAACTAACCGCTTAACGGCATTCATCATAAAAATTTTTAAAAAAAATTGCCAAATGACAAAAACAAAACTTGGCTTTTCACAAAAATTTATCGAAAAAATGCAAATCAGATCAAATCAATTTGCCTCTAATTGCGATCATAGATTTCTGACAATCAAAAACTTAAATCAGATGAACTTGATTCAAAGCAAACTCGAACAACTCAGAATAGTTTTTGGTACAAGAAACGGCATGAAACAGGGCCAATTCAGTGATTTTTATTAGCATTGTAGCAGCTTAATTTAAAGGCATAAAATTATTTTCACGATATTTTGATAGAAATAGCCAGCACAAATTTGAACATAGAGCTCGGCTGAAAGGAGCTTACACTTACGAGTTTGCTTCGGGATAGCTACCTGAAATTGAAATGAAAATTCCCAAAATGCATAGGCTTCTTGTACTAAATAACCTGAATGAAAATCTTTGTACCAAAAGAAAAGTCTCGAAGCTGAAATGGTTGCGTTGAGATATGATGGTAGCTATCTATGACAAAAACTAGAGTCACTACATGAAAGAAGCATTGAATATGCCACCCACAGTGATGGCAAAAATTCAAAAAACAATTAAAACTCCGACTTCTTTCCAAAAACTTTTTCAAAACTATAGCAGTTTGTTAAATTAACATGTCAGCAGATAACAATTTTTTTAAATACGTTTTCAGCAACCCTTGGCCATTTTCAGATTTTCTTTGAAGTACTTCAAGGCTCAGACCCTACGCCATAGTTTCTTTCTTCTCATCCTTTCCTGGGGGGTCGGAAAAATAAATTCTACCAAAAGTAATTCGGCAAACGGTATTGAGCAAACGGGATCCCTTTCTCGAAAAAAAAACATTCAAAAACATTGCGCAAAAACCAATTAGTAAGAATTAAGTAGATCGAATCAACAAAAATTCAAACTTCCCAACAATTTTTTTTCCTGAAAATTTTGATCTTTTTTGTGCAATTTATGAAACATCTTCAAAATATTTGAAAACGTCTTAGAAATAAAATATAACGTATAGTAAAACCTGATAACTATCGGCGACTTGTCACTGCTAAACTTCCCAAACTAAGTTAGTCTGAGAATCAAAAATGATCTATTCGCAATCGATATTGAGAGAACCTATTTGAAAAATCTTTTTGGAATCAAAATCACAACTTAGAGGGCTGTTATATTATTAATATGATACCACTCTCCGTTTTCTTTAATGTTTTTGAGCTAATTAAAACTGCGCGAAAAAACTTATGTAAACCGAACTAACTCCCATCCCTAGGTGACTGGTGAAAAAAAATCTATCGCTTTCCATGATTTGTTGAATGTTACGTTTTGACTTACGGTTACCCAATTTGTTAAATACAAACAAATCAACACAGTTTACAGCTTGAGGATGCTTCTTACGTAAGCGAATGTCTTTAAACTAAAAACGAAACGCCAGTTCTCAAAAGGTTCGAACAACGTTTGTCATATGGAAATTGGTTGCTTAGGCTTAAATTTGATTTTATTAAGAAATAAAACTAGTTTCAAGACCTTTCACCGTTTTCTTGGCAAAATTTTTCTTTTTTTATTCAGCAGACAAACTATGGGTCAACAATTTTTGGAAAGGAATATTTCCAGTTAAAAAACAGTTCCTGGCCAGATTCAAACCCACGACCTTTGCCGTTCCAGGCACACTTTTCACCTCCAGGCCAAGTACCGAACACGCATAAAGTTTGAATTCACTTTGAACCAAGGTACAAGTGATTCTTTTCAACAAGTTGTAACACCGAAAAAGTCTATTTTCCGATTTGATAACGCTTTCTAATTGCAAGCGTAGTAAATCAAGGTCAAATCTTACGAATAGCCGTACAAACCATGCCTTTTACCATTAGAAACGATTGCAGCGTTACTGAAGATTTGCAAAAACACTTGCTTTAAACAAAAAAATGAGCAAACGCTGGTTGACAGGTTGATATGATTTTTCATGCGTGGAACACTTGTTTTATTCATAGAATTGCGACGATACATTTGGACTAAAACTTTCATTCCATTAAAAAAAAAGAATTTTTATCAAAGATTTTGTTCTTGGAGTTATGAGCCCTAAAACTCTACATACCGCAGGCAATTCAAAATAAACTCATAGAAGCGGAAGCAACGTACATGCATTGTACTTAAATCACAAGCTGCATTTGCACATCTGAGACATGATGAAAAATGATTTTTTCTTAAAACAAAATACTCTACGGGTACGATCAACTAGTGTACTTAACGTAGCCACAAGTATAAGCCGCAGAAGCGAAAATGTACTTAGCATGCACAAGCGACAAGAATGGCAAAAGAAAGCTTCAAAACGCAAAAAAAATTCGCGAAGAAAATATGCGTACCTATGTTAGCTACATGATGCAATCCACCTCCAGAACTGTCTTTTAGAAAGCAAGTCACCTTGCTGACTTAGGTAATTTTTACACACTCTGATGGTAAGCTAGGAAGGAATGGGTTTTAATCAGTGGCTCGCGCAGAAGCTTTTCTAGAAAAAAAGGGTTCCGAATTTTTTTGTTGACGTTTTTTTTAGGTCGACCAAGTTGATTTCCTCAGCAAAAATATTATAAGGACCCCATTTGTCTAAAATGTTCCGAGTGGCCGTACAAACCATGCCTTTTACCCTTAGAAACGATTGCCTCGTTACTGATGATTTGCAAAAACACTTGCTTTAAACAAAAAAATGAGCAAACGCTGGTTGACAGGTTGATATGATTTTTCATGCGTGGAACACTTGTTTTATTCATAGAATTGCGACGATACATTTGGACTAAAACTTTCATTCCATTAAAAAAAAAAGAATTTTTATCAAAGATTTTGTTCTTGGAGTTATGAGGCCTAAAACTCTACATACCGCAGGCAATTCAAAATAAACTCATAGAAGCGGAAGCAACGTACATGCATTGTACTTAAATCACAAGCTGCATTTGCACATCTGAGACATGATGAAAAATGATTTTTTCTTAAAACAAAATACTCTACCGGTACGATCAACTAGTGTACTTAACGTAGCCACAAGTCTAAGCCGCAGAAGCGAAAATGTACTTAGCATGCACAAGCGACAAGAATGGCAAAAGAAAGCTTCAAAACGCAAAAAAAAATCGCGAAGAAAATATGCGTACGTATGTTAGCTACATGATGCAATCCACCTCCAGAACTGCCTTTTAGAAAGCAAGTCACCTTGCTGACTTAGGTAATTTTTACACACTCTGATGGTAAGCTAGGAAGGAATGGGATTTAATCAGTGGCTCGCGCAGAAGCTTTTCTAGAAAGAAGGGGTTCCGAATTTTTTTTGACGTTTTTTTAGGTCGACCAAGTTGATTTCCTCAGCAAAAATTTTATAAGGACCCCATTTGTCTAAAATGTTCCGAATAGCCGTACAAACCATGCCTTTTACCCTTAGAAACGATTGCCTCGTTACTGATGATTTGCAAAAACACTTGCTTTAAACAAAAAAATGAGCAAACGCTGGTTGACAGGTTGATATCATTTTTCATGCGTGGAACACTTGTTTTATTCATAGAATTGCGACGATACATTTGGACTAAAACTTTCATTCCATTAAAAAAAAAGAATTTTTATCAAAGATTTTGTTCTTGGAGTTATGAGGCCTAAAACTCTACATACCGCAGGCAATTCAAAATAAACTCATAGAAGCGGAAGCAACGTACATGCATTGTACTTAAATCACAAGCTGCATTTGCACATCTGAGACATGATGAAAAATGATTTTGTCTTAAAACAAAATACTCTACCGGTACGATCAACTAGTGTACTTAACGTAGCCACAAGTCTAAGCCGCAGAAGCGAAAATGTACTTAGCATGCACAAGCGACAAGAATGGCAAAAGAAAGCTTCAAAACGCAAAAAAAAATCGCGAAGAAAATATGCGTACGTATGTTAGCTACATGATGCAATCTACCTCCAGAACTGCCTTTTAGAAAGCAAGTCACCTTGCTGACTTAGGTAATTTTTACACACTCTGATGGTAAGATAGGAAGGAATGGGTTTTAATTAGTGGCTCGCGCAGAAGCTTTTCTAGAAAGAAGGGGTTCCGAATTTTTTTTGACGTTTTTTAGGTCGACCAAGTTGATTTCCTTAGCAAAAATTTTATAAGGACCCCGTTTGCCTATAATGTTCCGAATAGCCGTACAAACCATGCCTTTTACCATTAGAAACGATTGCCTCGTTAATGATGATTTGCAAAAACACTTGCTTTAAACAAAAAAATGAGCAAACGCTGGTTGACAGGTTGATATGATTTTTCATGCGTTGAACACTTGTTTTATTCAGAGAATTGCGACGATACATTTGGACTAAAACTTTCATTCCATTAAAAAAAAGAATTGTATCAAAGATTTTGTTCTTGGAGTTATGAGGCCTAAAACTCTACATACCGCAGGCAATTCAAAATAAACTCATAGAAGCGGAAGCAACGTACATGCATTGTACTTAAATCACAAGCTGCATTTGCACATCTGAGACATGATGAAAAATGATTTTTTCTTAAAACAAAATACTCTACCGGTACGATCAACTAGTGTACTTAACGTAGCCACAAGTCTAAGCCGCAGAAGCGAAAATGTACTTAGCATGCACAAGCGACAAGAATGGCAAAAGAAAGCTTCAAAACGCAAAAAAAATTCGCGAAGAAAATATGCGTACGTATGTTAGCTACATGATGCAATCCACCTCCAGAACTGTCTTTTAGAAAGCAAGTCAACTTGCTGACTTAGGTAATTTTTACACACTCTGATGGTAAGCTAGGAAGGAATGGGTTTTAATCAGTGGCTCGCGCAGAAGCTTTTCTAGAAAAAAAGGGTTCCGAATTTTTTTGTTGACGTTTTTTTTAGGTCGACCAAGTTGATTTCCTCAGCAAAAATATTATAAGGACCCCATTTGTCTAAAATGTTCCGAATAGCCGTACAAACCATGCCTTTTACCATTAGAAACGATTGCAGCGTTACTGATGATTTGCAAAAACACTTGTTTTAAACAAAAAAATGAGCAAACGCTGGTTGACAGGTTGATATGATTTTTCATGCGTGGAACACTTGTTTTATTCCGAGAATTGCGACGATACATTTGGACTAAGACTTTCATTCCATTAAAAACAAGAATTGTATCAAAGATTTTGTTCTTGGAGTTATGAGGCCTAAAACTCTACATACCGCAGGCAATTCAAAATAAACTCATAGAAGCGGAAGCAACGTACATGAATTGTACTTAAATCACAAGCTGCATTTGCACATCTGAGACATGATGAAAAATGATTTTTTCTTAAAACAAAATACTCTACGGGTACGATCAACTAGTGTACTTAACGTAGCCACAAGTCTAAGCCGCAGAAGCGAAAATGTACTTAGCATGCACAAGCGACAAGAATGGCAAAAGAAAGCTTCAAAACGCAAAAAAAATTCGCGAAGAAAATATGCGTACGTATGTTAGCTACATGATGCAATCCACCTCCAGAACTGTCTTTTAGAAAGCAAGTCAACTTGCTGACTTAGGTAATTTTTACACACTCTGATGGTAAGATAGGAAGGAATGGGTTTTAATTAGTGGCTCGCGCAGAAGCTTTTCTAGAAAGAAGAGGTTCCGAATTTTTTTGTTGACGTTTTTTTTTAGGTCGACCAAGTTGATTTCCTCAGCAAAAATATTATAAGGACCCTATTTTGTCTAAAATGTTCCGGGCCAAAGGCAAATTTTTGAAAAAAAAAAACAATAAAAACGTTTTGATTACTTTAAAAAATAAACCACAAAACTGCATTTTTTCATCCCCCCCTGGCTTGTTACTGCATTTTAAAAAGTGAACTTGAAAAATAAGAAGTACAACTCACAATTTTCGTTTAAATTTATCAAAGCGACGATACATTTGGACTAAAACTTTCATTCCATTAAAAAAAAAAGAATTTTATCAAAGATTTTGTTCTTGGAGTTATGAGGCCTAAAACTCTACATACCGCAGGCAATTCAAAACGTACCCACCTCAACGTACCCCCAACCCACGACGTACCCTCCTCACGCACCCCCATCCCCCCACGTAACCCCCAACCACGACGTGCCCTCCACCTCTCTCTCTCTCTCTCTCTAGTTAGGGGACATCTAACTGTAGTACGGGTAAGCGATGGGGGGGGGGGGGGGCGTTGGTGTAGGATCTATAGGTAACTTTTTGTAATTTTTTCAATAATTCGATTGAAAATAGGAAAAAATGAAATTAAGCGAGAGAACAAAATAACTAACTTAAGTTTAACAAAATTATGAAAAAATGAAAACAACCCACAAAAAGATTTGAATAAATAGATTATAATCCATTATAATTGATTAAAATGGATTATTTTTCTTTTGATAATTTTTTTTGAAAATAATCGATTATATTGGGATTTTATTGCTTAAAAAAATATTATCATTATAATCCATTTTCAATCGATTATAAGCGATTATTTTTGTTATTTTGTAGACTGACAATAAAAATCCAATATAATCGATTATTATCCATGAAACTTCGGTGCGGGAAACTCGGCATTGTCAAATAGCGACCGCTTGTTTCGCGTAACTTTGACACACACACTAATGGTGCAAAGCACGTGAATCAATGTAGTTACAGAGATTTGTTGTTCCAACCATTAAAAATGGGGAAGAACTTAGAATTCCGGTTTTTTTTAGCTTTCCGGCAAAACCCGGTACCACAAACAATCATCGGAATGGGCCGAGTGGTATATCATATTAGAGACCTTTCAGTTGAGATTCGAATGCAGGGGCGGATTTGGGGGGGGGGGGCGGATTTGGGGGGGGGGGGGGCGGAAGCCTCCTTCTCAGGGATTCGACCCCCTGCCGACCCTAAGGGTCCCCCCTTTGGTACTTTTTAAGAAATCCATTTTTGGTCAGCCAACCCTTAAACACTGTTTTGCGTTTGAACAGGAGCAGTTGAAAAACAATGACTTCACTCAATCACCAGCAGAAAGTGACACCTCGAAGGCGCACCCTCCCATCAACCACAAAGATGCACAGAATGACTGCAAGGTACCGAAGACTAACGGGGTAGAGAAACAAAAGCCCCCCACCATTATTCCAGACTGCAAAATTGACCCAGGGACTCCTGAGGAGGAGTCTTCTATTTAAGTTAACACTCTCAAATTAAATCCAGACTGCTGCTGCATTAAAACCGTTGTTTGTACCACAAAACCGCTGCCTCTGTATTCCAACAACTGCATGACACTTCCTCCATTCAGTCAGTTCCACGTGGGAATTTGCCCTGTTTATTGAGTTATTTACTGTTCCCGGCGCCCATCAAATCCAATTTCTTACTGTCATTTTAACATATATTTAGGGCGATTGTTTAAATTTAAAACAAATTTCGAGTCAAAAAAATCTCATTTTCAATTTGGTTTATTAGTGCGTTTTCTATATTGTGCATGAAACATGTCTGGTCTGCTCAAGCAACTTGATGGCATTTCGTATTGTTTCTATTCCTAATAAAAACTATTTTGAGCCAACCACCTTTGTGCCGGCGATGTGAATCTCAATTAAATACAACAATCACTATAAGAAGTAGTGATAACTATACCGATTTTTAAATTTTGCAAAAATTTTTAAACTTTGCAGATTTTTGGTGTGACGAGAGAGCAACTATTAGTGAAAATGAATATTTTTTAAACGCAGACAAACAATCGCTTTTTAGATCTGTAAAAATTAGATGCGTTATCTTTTTTAGTCCCCGATGCTCATGCTATCGGGCAAGTAAGCATTTAGTTTTGGGATTGAGGTATTCTGATATCAGTATCAATATCTTGAACAAGTTTGTGAATTGATGAAATATTTTGAAAAAAGGTGAAAATGAAATGGCGTGCGAGTGTTTGCTCTTAGTAGTCGGAATAGTTGTACAAATAGTTATGTTTTATTTCTGCATTTTATAATCTGTCTATTTTATAATCTGTCTATGCGTTATACAGATAGATAGTCTATAAAATCTGTCTGTCTTTAGCTAGTTTAGCAGTTTAATATTTACTAACTAGAGAATGTTAAATTTCTGATATGTACTAATAAATTGTGCGATTACAAATTAACAGATTTATTTCATGTCTTTTACCACACGAAGTCTGTCGAGAAAATCTGTTAGTGTTAGGCTTCATGCACCAAAAATATTTCATATTTATCAAAACAATTAATCAACATTGTCTCAATTCATTAAAATATGATCAATGGGTATTTGGTATGTTTTTGTATCCAATCGTGGTTGAAAAGTTGGATCCACAAGTGAACGCACAAATTTGAACGAAGTTTCCGAGAATGTCAAATGAAAAACGCGATTCAATCAAACCAATAAAACAGAAGCGGGAGCGCGATTTTCTAAGAGACAGTAATAATATCGGAAGATAAAATTTATACGTTTTATCTAAAAAAAAACACAATTTCTAGTTGCCTGCGTGATAATTGTTCCGACATTCGAAGGAAGCAAGGGAATTTGTGCTGGGAAATTTTCGTACTAAATTTTTTAACCATGGCATTTTTGACCAGACTATTTAACATCCATTCAAAAGGTTTCAAAATTACCGATTTGTGATTAATCATCTGCGGGCAAAATTTGCAATTATCTCATAACGCGTATCATAAGAGGCAAATAAATCCAGCTTCGAAAGAACTCGGAATTGAATTAAGCCATGCCATTAGGTTCAAACATTGTAGTAACAGACGCAAATTATATCATTTTCTTGTGAACATTGCGCCTTTCGGGAATAACAATGTAAACATAATGGTAATCATTTCTAAAAAAGAAATTTTTTGAAAGTTTCATTTTTTGCCAAACTACATCAGGCCTAATAAAGGACAGTCGGAACTTTCAGTGCTTTAGCTTGATACAAGTAACCTGTTTCATTGAAATTTCCGGTACTGAGCCAAATCAATGAGTTGAAAACAACAAAAGTTGTAGATACTTTTTGTGTCTATTACTTGCTAAAAACTGTCACAACTGATTAAAAATTAAGGCTGTGCTTTGTGGTTTTTGTTATTTTGGGCTCGGTCAACAATCTGTCAATTATGTTAAATAAGCATCGAAACAAAATTTAGGAAACTGTGCCGACAACACTCGGGAAGAAGCCTTTTGAGCCGAAACAAAACTGTTTTCTTAAAAAAACTTAGAGCTATGCAACAGTTTAAATTCTTATATACCTTGAAATGTTTTTGAACCGCTCCCTCCTCTACCGCAAAAAAAACACGTGAAAGCTTTTTTGCCTATTAAACAATGTAACAAGAGTTGACTAAGCCAATTGAATATGATCGAAAAAATAGTACGCCTAATGAAGTGAAAAAAAAAAATCAACAACAAAAAGCAAGACCGCTCGTATATCAGAGCAGAGCCCTGAACGTTTCGAATACCCCATAAACTATATCGAATCGTTTTTGGGAAAAGAAAAAATAGCAAAACTTTTGGGCAAAATCAAAGATCAGGTGTAAAAATTTGAGTCGTAAGAAATTAATACGACCGATTAGCTAGCCTCCATTTAAGTTGGAACGATTTTGAAGTGCGAGATAATTTGCCACGCATAAATAATTCGCGTTAAGCATTCAGCATTATGCATAAAATCTTCAGAACGCGCATAAATTAATCCAGAGCATGGCCAAATTGGAAATTTCCAAACTCCCAGAACTTTGCAAAAACAAACGGAGGTAAAATGTCTTTTTATATTTGATTTCAAGGAGTCAATATCTTCAATGGTTATATTTTTTGTCAGAAACTATTATTTCGATCAACAAAAATTGACTGGATAAAAAATACCAAGCATAAATATTCCTTTTTCTTCGAAAGTCAGAAGAAAAAAGCAGTTATACAAAATTGAAGTAAATTTACAAGCCCCAAAAAAATAATCTTCGAACATCTAGTATTGGAAATGCTACACTAATATAAAAGGCTATAGTTTTAATTGTTTAGATAAGATTCAAGTGGAATCTTTTCTATTCTAAATTCGTTCACATCTCAAGATAAGAATGCCTTTTCTAACTTAACATTTGATTCAGATTTCAACTTAACTCAAAACTTTAAAAGTCAAATCCAAATATCTAACTTTTCGAATTCTGAACGGAGTCTTTTTTTAAATCTTTCAGCTTTATTAACCTTGGAAAAAAAATTTTAATAAAATTTAACGATGATCAAAGGAACTGAATATTTATCCACGACGCCAGTCAGGCGGAGTGTGTCTTTTGTTTTGGCTTTGAAAATAGATGAATCCCCCGCTGCTCTGAATTTTAAAGTGCAACCACCCTAACTAAAGCAGGTGGAAATATTGTAAGTTCCCTCAGTTAAACTAAAAATTTATTTTTTCATACAAAAAAGCAACAAAATGCAAATGTCAGTCTCCTGATCAAACGAGATTAAAATAGGACTTTAGTCTAATAGCAGGTGCAGGGAAAACCAAACTTAAATTGTTTCGGATGAGCTTGCCTGGATTTTTTAAGAGACTCTAATTTCTAACGTTCGCAAAGACAGCTAAAATATTTTCAATTTTCTTTTATTTCCTGTCACAAAATAAATTTTAAATTCTTTTACAGTAAATTTTCACTTTTAGCAGAGTCACTCAAAACTTAAACAAGTTTAAATAAAGAAATTTCTCAAGTTAAATTCAACAGACCGAAACGAAAACGAAGTGCAACCACCCTAGTAACGGACAATACCTCAACGGACAGTGAACATTAGACAGTGTACCTTTTCCCGGCAAGATTTGGGACAACAGCTTTTCCCACTTTCTCTCCGCTACTTTCGAACCAAAATTGTAAGAAATAAAAGCGATAAGTTAATAAAATTAACATCTCCTATTGGTAAAATTTAACAATAGATGAACAGTTGTTAGGTTGATGTTAATCAAGCTTTTTTAATTTACCTGTTTATATAACTATCATTTTAACTCAGATCGACTATGATCTATGATATAATTTAACCTTATAATGTTAGTTACTAATTTAAACAAAGGGATCTATCAATCAAACCCACGTTTTTTTAGTAAAAATAGAACGATAATTCGAAACGCGGACAAGCTTAATCGATTAAGTTGATGTTTGAGAAAGCGAATCAATGATTCTGTTAGACAAGTTAAGTTGTGAACAAAAAAAAATCTAAAAATATATTTTTTAAATCAGTAAAAAAGACAGGCAAGTAAATTTACTAAAATGAGATAAACAAAAAAATCAAAAGCGTAAATTTCCAGCGACAACGAAGCCAAAATTAAATTTTATCAAATTTTATGCAAGAAATATGAACTGATACTAATTAGTGTATTCCTCTTTACCATCACTCACTGTGCTGTCCACTCGTGCAGAAGAAACGAAACTCAGCATAGCACTGTCATCAAAATGAATCTCTTTTTGAAAGATTGGTGCTTCACCAAAACGGGCGACAACAGCGAAAACCCCGGCGGACCAGATACAGCAACCAGGGGACCCCAAGACGGTACAGTGTTGGCTTTGGACGAGACAAAAACCCAAAAATCTTAAGAACCTTCCTTAGAAGTAATGAACAGCTACCACCAGCATATTCATAGATTAAGTACTGAACCGCATGCCGGTTCCCTCTAATTAAGATTTTCCCGAAAAAAAGATGCCGAAATAGGCTGCACAAACATGAGTAAGCTGCTTCCAAGAAATAAGTCATGCTAAGTCAGATTAATGAACCAATCTGAAATCGACCAATAAAACCCAACAATCATTAAGAACATAGCCCACAGACAGTTGGAAAAAATCAATGAACGCCAGTAAACAGAAAAAAAAAATTGACTTTAATTTCAGTGTTCGAATTTCAAAGAAAAAATTAAATTCCGTAAATCTCTTTGAATTTCTAGAACAATTTATGTTGACACTATTTTTGATTTAATAAACCCAATTTGAGAAAATTGCATCAACAAATAAATTTTAAAGTTCGCTGGAAAATCTGATAATTAAAATGTATTTTCGAAATTAGAAGTCGATCATGTTTTTTGTGGCCTTTACAGTGTTCAGTTTGACAGTGCAGTTTGCCTTCGTTTTAAGAAAGAAAATGAACTGAACTTAAAAGAAGTCAAAATTTAAAGACTTTTCCAGAAAAAAAACATCGCGGCCTCGCAAGAACCTAAACAACGTTTAACGACTCTTAATAAATTCAATTTTCAATTTTAAGGTAGTCAACAAATACGCAAAGAAAAACTTCCATTTAGGCCTTAACCAATTAGGCTTTGTTATATTTCCTCTTATAAGCATTAACGAATGATTTTGTTAGAATAGTTGCGTACCAGATAAAAATCGAGTACCATGCAATCTGATAAAAGGAAAGATGACAATCGTCCCATTTTTAAGAGTGATGTAACAAGAATCGAATGCTTAATGTTTCGAATCTGAACCCTTCAGAGCCTAAACGACCCCCTTTGGTTACTGATGTGGTTTCAGAAAAAAGCTCTGATGTTACACAGACTGAAGTCAACAGTAATTCGCAGCAATCAAAATTTTTCATTTTTAAACACAGGCGAAGCTGAGCTTCGCACCAACTGCAATACAACACAAATATAAAAACATAAAAAGCCGAAAAAAAACGAAAATTATCGAAAAAAATAGGTCACATAAACTTTCATATGTCTCGATAGAAGTTCATTGCAGGCAAACAAGCCAGACTCTTGAATTTTAAAACAGCAACAACGGAACAAAACTTACGAATAGAAACAAAGCCGACAATCTTCGAGCAGACATAAGTTGAGCCGAAGAAAATATGATTTTATAGAAAAAAAAAGTTTCAAGTCCCAACTTAAACATCAAAAGATTACATCAAATATTTTTTTAGACATCTTCAACTCCCCCCTGAAATTAGAATGAACAACACTTGCACTTGTAACAATAATCAAAATTGTCTAAACCACAAGCAAAATCCGTTGTGGCAATTTATCCGACAAAACTTGAGCAAACAAACAAAAACCAGCTCTTTTCCATTTCCAGTTTCCCAGCACCCCCACCCCCCCCCCCCGTAAAATGACAGAATAAAACTGTTCAAAAATTGGTCTACGGTGTTTTGCATGTTAAAATGCTGTACAAATGTGTTCCCCTGCTCACGTTGACACGTTTTAACG